AATAAGCTATTTAGTTAGAGTGGGATTTTACGAAATCGTGTACGATACACACCAGGAACGAGACCTAAATACATACTAATCCAAGTCTTCCTGATAATTTTTGAAGGAATTTTTAAGCTCCTGCTCCACTAAGGTTTTTTTGCACTACTGATGACGTGACTGAATTCTGAAAGACGCAAACCTGATGGTATGGATTAAGGGCATTAGAAACAAATCTGTAACTGAACTTCTGCTCATCCTCAACGTTCCACTAGTTCCACAAAGTTTTGAAAGTTGGTTATGGCACTATTAAATCTAAGATTCTTTCACAGGAGTGTCTTCCTGTGGTTGTTTTTTTGCCGAAAAATGTTAGAAAAGTATGTTTTGTGTGATGTGATGCCACAAGCAGTTGGAGAAAAAAGTTTTGAGAGGTGACAAGGATATAATTACACCAAGATTTGTTCATCTATCTATCCGTTTTCGTATGTACCTAGTCAACGTAAATAGGTATGCAAGTACATATGTACACACTTGCAACAATTTGGGACTGATCATGTCAAGGTATGTGAAAGTCTGGCTTCGTTTAATTCTACATCATCTCAATTCTACATAAATCTTTTACTCAACCCAAGGAGAGAAACTAAAGTGGCACACAACACACAAGTGACACCAAATCTACATCAGTCGTCACATAGCCCCAGAAAGTTGAGATCACAACCCTCAAAATCCCAATTTCACGACATGGATTTCCTTTCACAAGATTTTTTACCCAGTTGAACAAATCTGGAAAAGTTTTCTTATTCAGCTAAACTTGGCATCTCTTCTTCTGCTCTGAATTGGGTAGATATGTGACAACGGTAGACCTATCAAATAAACTTGGTAGTTTGCAGGGGCAATAGTGTTGCATGCCTTAAGCTGACATTGAATGTCTATGTCTCCTCTCGGAAACCGGAAATCTGGACGAATGTCCATAGATTGTAGTGTGTCATAGAATCTAGATAATAAGGTTTTTGAAACTTCAATGTAGATTCCAGAGTTTTATCTACTTTTTCAGTTTCTTGTTTTAATCGTATTCCCACTGTGTTCTCCTGCTTGACATTTTGTTTTCTTTGCCAGTGCAATCCAACTTTCTCTGGTATTCTATCTCTGTAAGTGGGCAACTTTCTCTATTCCTTCATCTTTTGAAGCATTTCATCATGCGTCGATTCTCCTGTGATAATTTCTTGACGTGCCTCCTGTTTGTGACGAGTTGCAGTAGCAGATAAAATATTCCTTTAAAATAAAAGACAAAAATCCTTGCTCTTATTGAAGGAGTAAGTAAAGTACTTCACCACCATCATAATGGTGACACCAGGATGTGTTAGAGTCGAAAATGGGAATTTCGAGTCTGTATAAATTCCCATTGGATGCAACGTTCTGCCAGCGTGAGTCTATAACTGGGAACTCAATTGGGTGGTGGAGATGCAAGTACGTTGAAGAAGGACGTCAGTCTCGTTTTTAGGGCGACAGATCGTATCCGTATTAGAAATCCAGATCCGCAGTTTTATGTCCAGGACAAAATTGATGATCAACGGATTCCTCGGTGGTTCGTATATGTATATATTCTCTGAGGTCTCGACAAGAATACATATAAGTTTCAGGATTGGGACTTTATATGTAATGGAAATCAAGAACCAGTCCACGAGAAATTGAGCTATGTTAAAGCCTGATATTTTGGAACCGAGTTTCATGACCCACATGCATCAAACGAGTAGAAACTTTTAAAAGAATTACTGTACTAGAATGTGACGATGAGGACGATAGTTCTTATTTGTTGCAATTCATGACCAGATTTACGAGTTAATTACTCAACTTTATTTTCATTTGAATCTGGAATGAGTAGGATCGCCATGCGAAGTGCTTTCTTCCCAGTCAACGATGTTTACACGCTTGGAGAGAAAGTTTGCAAGCGGTTTAAAATCATGATTGAAGGCGTCTCACTTATACTCATTTGCATATACTGTATATTTGAGTCAAGTCGTCTACGTATGTATACACGTCGAGTGTCCTTCATTCGAGTTTGCTAAGAGTTTATGTCATCAGTTCCGTTTCTCTCTTCTTTCTTCCTCACAATCCTTCAGTCTGGGATTCTTCTTTCCTTTCTACTTAATTCCCTCCAGCTTGTTGATTGATTTTTTGGTTGGTTTTATTCCGTCCTTGTGGTTTTGAAAAAATCACCATTATTCCTCACTGACAACCCAAATTCCAATCTCTGTCAAAATCAATTTCGTCCCAATTCGAACTTCAAAGTCCCAAAATCTAAAAGCTTGCCAATATTCAACCAGTGGCATGTGTGAAAATCTACCCAACCCAATGTCAAAAACAGATGCAAGCCTCACTTTACTAACTTGTTTTCCATTACGCAAAGGGTGAAACCTTACCTAACTTGTTAAAAAAGTTTAATGAAGTCCAGCAGCAACATCAGACAATCTTGGAGAAATCTTTTGAGCATGTTTTCTTTTTTCTCGCTCGAGTGTTGGCTGAGAGTGAGATAGATACTGCACCCCACTCATACTTCCAACGAGATAGTTATTTAGAAGAAAGGCAACATGCAGTTAAATCCTACACTTGAAATTGGGAATGACGACCGCGAGGAAGTTAAGTCGTTGAAAGTTTAGTTTAGCCCGAGTTGGCAATCGAATTACACCGCTATACTAACTGTAATTGACTTGACATTGGGCTCGCCTGGAGAAAGTTTGCCCCTAAAAATATTTCGTGATCACAATCGCATTGAGTTTTTGGGGTTTGAGAGATGAGCGGATAAAAGCACAGAGCAGCACATACAATAATCGAATATTGTGCTATTTACAGGGAACTACATATCGTAACCCAAGACTAAGTCCTCTCAACGACGAATTTTCCTCTCACCCTTCACTGCGTTTCTATTGTTTTAAGGCGACCAAAGAGATGGGAAAGTGCTTTCCATCTAGACTCAAATTCCCTGACGAAAGTCGATTCTATTTTAAAGTCACATTATTTTATTATTTGGCCCATAGTGCTAAAATGAAATTCAGTCAGTAGGAGTCTGTAAGGGAAGAAGAGGAGGAGAAAGAGACTGACTACAACGTTGCTTGAGCTTGGTTTTGTGAGAGGCAGTTATGGATTGAAGTGGTTGTTTGGTGGTTGTTGTACATGGAATGTAAATTGATCATGTTTTGTGGGATGCCCCAGAGTGTCATTTCTCAATGCAAATGAGACCTCGTCGCAGTTTCGTCTACCATTTCGTATTACCCACTTAAACGTATCCTGCCCCTTGTCGCTTCCTGGCCTCTTTAAATCTTCGTCCTCGCTTTTTATAAAATTCTTACTTATTCAAAGCATTACGAAATTTACAATCTAATCGGGATGTAAGCTCAGCATAACCAAGCAATGAGCAATATAAAGTGAAGGTCAGCTAATGCTATTAGGGAATTGTGTCTATATATTTGGGACAGTTCTTGCATTTTTGGCCACTTTTCCCTGAACAATTCAGTGTCTACTTTATTTTTATGAGCATTCTGCATTTGAGCCACATCCTCCGAGAGAGAGAGAAAGTAGATATGATATGCACTGCGCTGCGATTTTATTGGTGGGCGAGTGAAAGACAGCAAAAGGGCCAGATACGCTTTTCATGGTTTTACTTTTATAAATAGAATAACTTGTTGGCCTCACATTAGCTGATTTATTTCTCATCATTGTTTTTCAACATATTTTTTATCGAGTTATGATAACAATGAGCTTGGTGACTTGGTTGGACACATAACAAGCCCACAGATATATGATCCAATAATAGCACAGTGGAAATCCCTGGCATCACGTCCTTCTTACTACACAACGTCTGCTTGTTGTAGCTAGAGGCGATCATTAATATTGGGCGTGTTTGCAAAATTTGCTGCTCTTCTTTCTGTAGGTAATATAAGTTAGGAACAGTAGGAAGGCTTATTACCAGCTAAGGATGAGGCAGGAAGGAAAATGTCAGCTAAAATTAAAACTGCGCTGCCAGCTTTCCCTTCTCCTTGGAACATTATATTATTTATAATGGCACAAACAGATTCTTCGACCAATTTCCTCAATCATTGATAAATTGTAGTGGTCATTACTCATGACTTGAATTGCAGCATTTGGGGAAATATATCAATCTCATCTAATCCCTGAAATGCCACTTTTACCCACAGTAAATCAAGAGAATAGACAAATGATTACAGAACTGCCCATCTAAATGTCAGCGAAGTTGACAATGCAATGGCTTCAGGAAATGAAACAGAAATCGACAGTTGGTTGGCAATTGTCCAGCGAAAACAAGTGAAAATATTTATTTCCTCCGCAAACAAACACTCCTCCTCTTGAAACCAAATCCCCTCTCACTCACTGCGAACAACAAGGTCAAAGTAAAGCCAGAGCGGACACAAGAATTGGTATTGGTCCGGTTCACTGATTTCTAACAAGTAGCGTGGCCCACATTATATTGCATTGAAAGTGAGAGGTAGTCACTCAGTGGAACTATGTGTCCAGAATAACAGCTCCACGAGGCATCCGACCAGGAGGTGACAAATGTGGCTTTTTAGAGGAGAAAATGAAAAAGCACATAAAAATGAAGTCTCGACATGGAGCTGGTGGATGACGCACACATATGCAAATGACCTTCTCCAAGGAATCTCAATAGTGTGCAACCCAATCAACATCAAAATCCAATGTCGTCTTTTCCTTCTTCTTTCTTCCTGCCTCTTTCAATAGGAATGAAATACGATCTCAGCTATTCTGCCCATTTTTCTATCCAAAATGTGCCGGTTTGGCCTTGGTTCCCGTGTGTCGCCAAGTTTTATATTCGCGGTGAAAGGTTGTATAACAAGGTCGTCAAATTCGTCAAGTATAAAATATTTATACAACGGCATTCAGCTTAGTTTGAAATATTCATGCAGTTGTGAAATATCTCAAGTTGAAAATAATTAACTTTCTCCCGGACAATTCATAATGTTTAACAATTGTACTTCTTTTCTTTATAGCAATGCCGATGGAGTTGGGAATTATGTGGGTTCAGTACCCGTGGTAAGTTTCAATTCGGTTATATGTACACAAAATGGGCATATGTACGTATTTTATGTACTAATTTAATTTTGACGTTTGCAGGATTTTTGGGGAAATTGCGTGTGATATTCGTGGGATTTTAACAGAGTCCACAACCTACGCATCCATCCTCACAATTGTCGCTTTCACGTAATTTACCAATATTTAGTAATATTACATGCTTACTTTACATATGTATATATTTGTCATTGTTTATGTTAACATAGAGCGGAGCGCTACAATGCTATTTGCAATCCGATGAAGTAAGTTCGTGTCCACATCTTTCTTGGTATATGCATTTTTATAACGAGATTTTATCATTACTTTCATTATTATTGCAGAACTCAGACAAAGTCCAAGTTTAGTAGAGCTACACGAGTGATCTGTTTAATCTGGATTGTAAGTAAAATTATACTTTTGATACATTATGTGCATATACTATTAACCTACTGGCTGTGTCTGCAGATCTCAATTGCATCCGCGCTACCCTGGGGATATTACACGAAGGTAATTATTTGTGGGGAGTTTGTCCCCGTTTGTTCTTTTTCGATCATCAGGATTGGATCTCGGTCTAATGATAAAACCGGACAACTCTCTTGTCAACCTCCCCGAAATTATATATTTACATGGGGTGGATTACCCATCTATAAAGTTTCCTGGAGGTTTACAAGATAGCCGTCCGGTCTCACCATTAGGACGATATATCAACGACTATATATACGTATCAATTGAATTTGCTGATAACTATACCAGGTATTTCTAAATACGTTTGCAAGAATAATACGCATAATTGAATTAGCAGAGTTTGCAAGTCCATTATAGATTTTTTGGTAATGGACCAGTTTCCGCTAGATATCCATTCTTTCACTGCACAAACATAACCTTCGGAATAATGGGAGTTCTACATGTATACTCGCATTTGCATCTATGAGTTCATTATATTTCTGGTAGTTTGAACAAAAATCGGTTATGCACAGTCCGTTGAAAGATATTACAAATGAGCTTTTAAAAATTTAGTAGGCATACACGGGTACATATTATCTTAAGGCAAACACATGTATGCTTATGTACACGCTTGCACAGTTGAAGGTTACTCATCCAACAAAAATGAATGATAAAGTCAAGTCATGGAGGAATTGCTGATATGATAACATTTTTGAATTGTCGTTCAAATGGTCAGCTTTACATTTGTATTCTCATTTCGTAGAGCTATTCAACCGTAATTCCCATTTCAATTCCCGTATGAAACCAAACAAACATGGGAGGACTTTCACGAGAGGAGCTGTGCTGACCAATTTCATTTCTTTATATTACTGCTCCTGCAGATCTGCTGTGTGCGGAAGGGGAGAAAATTACAGTCATTCATCGCTCCACCATTCCACTTCAGACTTCATTGAACTTTGCCACTTTCACCATCTCTTCACCACCATGAAAGAGCACTTGAATGAACCACCAAGTTTGACTCTTCTGACTTAAATGCTCCCCATTAGGGCTGCTAACGTATTACTATAAAGCTACATCTTAACTCTGCCACTCACCTTTCTCTGGGGGAGAAAACTCTTTCACGACTTTAGGTTTTTATTGCAACCGTTCTCCACCGTATACCCTTTTTAAATACTTTACTACAAATGTGCATGATCATGAAGATGTTATAGCACAAGTTAGTTGAGTCTGTTTTACTTATGCACACATTTTCAGAGAATTTGGTGTAATTCCATTGATCGAACGGAAACAATCAGTCTAAAAAGTGCAATAGTCATGCCCACAGTACTCAAGTATCTAATGCTTAATTTCCGTTAATGGAAAACATGATAACGATTTGACGCATGGAAATCTTCACTTATTCATCCACCCATTATTTCGTGCACTCGATGGTGTGTACAACTTTCTTCTCATACCATCAATGGTGAAGAGGCCGAATGTTGTGTACAGATGGATAAGATCGAGGAAGAAAATACTTTGGGATGGGAAAGTTCGGCAGAATAATGTGGTGCATGTCTGGAGTGCAGAAATAATATAAATCAGAGTCTCAAGCGTTTGTCCATTATTTATTTGTTTTCCATCAGAGTAAAAGTGGTCAACAACGACCATGTAGGCGTGTATATATGTATACATTACCAAAGAAATATTTGCACGTATGTCCGTTTATACTTCATACGTAGCGTACGTAGCCAACAATAGAGTGTTGACCATGGAAGTTTAGCCATTCTACACTACTATTTTTTGGTCACGTTGCCAGCTAAATGGTTTGGTCTTGACATGCAAGTCGTGAATTTTACAAAATTTTGTTTTTAGTAGGACAACTCCAGCTCAGCCCTTTCATATTCTGCTTTTTCGGGAGGAGTGAGTGTTCAGAAGGAAATAGATAAGAGGGAAAAAGTGGCTTCCTCTTACCCACTGCCGCTGCACTCTTTCTTTGCACACACCTCTTCGTGTCACATAAATTGCTCGTCTGCATTTCTCCTTCAGGGCAATTTGCTCCGCTGAAAAGGCAAAATGTAGAAATAGCGATGAAAAAAGAGGTGAAAATGTGTGGGTTTAGATTTTTCCTGATCCATTTATAGAACTAAATTCTATTCTTCGCAGAGGAGGATGGGGCCTTATTTCATTTTATCGAGACGGGTGTAAACTAGGATATATGTATTTATCTCGGTATGGGCAGAAGCAGCGACGGCCGATAACAATAAAGAATGGGGAGAGAGGAATGGATTGGAATGAGAACCGAGATAGTGAATGAATGACTCAACCGCGATGATGCAAGATTTTTGTTCACCATCATGTACATTTTAATCAGGTATAATCAGCACATATGCCGTCAGTAGAACTGATATACCTCACAAGTTCCCCTAAACCTACGGGCTGATATGGGAGAAAGTATCTGCGTATATTCGCTGTGTTTGGGGGTACGAACGTGCAGGATGAATGGAAAAGTCAGAGTTATTTATAGAGGATGAGAGAACGTTTAAAAATGCGGCCAGATGTCCGTAATGTCTCATTTCATTGCTTCCCCAATCCAATTTGCTTTCTCCTCCAGTGAATGAGGCACTGATGAAATGAGAGCCAGCTTCTCCATTCCCATCACCGCACAAAGCAGAGGGAATACAAACACAGTCGCCTTCTACTCTTACCTATGCAATGAATCCATGGTCGAGAAAAAGCGTCGTTATTTATTACACCGTCTAACACATTAATTCGGCACAAGACGAGTAAAATACTCATTCCCAGGTGGTACCAGCACACGTACATGGGTACATATGCAGAGTGAAAGCAAAAAGCTGTGGTTTGTAACATTTCTCTGGCAAATAACTAATTTGAGATTCAGATACATGCTAATGCAACAACAAAAGTCGCAACTACATAACTGCATCACTTCGGTCTCCAAAACACTTTTAGTTGAATTAAAAAGTAACATGTGTTGAATGGACTCTGAACAATAGAGTCAAAGGAATGTCTGTGGGCGAACAAATATTTAAAAAATATGCTGGTTATTGATTTGAGAACATGTAATTGGTACCCCAATCTTGATAATGTTGTGTCATATTCTCTAGGTGAACTACGTCCTAGACCCGCACAACAACACAATGTTAGAGTCGGCCTGGTGCGGAGTTCCATTTGACAAGCCCGACTTATCATGTCAAATTCTGATGCTGCTTTCTACCATGCTTTTCTTTGTGGCACCCATGACGCTGATTTTGATCCTGTATCTTCGAATTGCCCTCGTCCTCCATCGCAGCTCCCGCAATGGCTCTCTGCGTCGGTGTTGCGCCACACAGCATCAACCAAGCTACAACAATGGCACCCCGAACAATGGAAATGGTCCACGTGCCCTTCCTTCCACTCCGCAACAAAGTTATTCCAACTACAGTGCCAAACGGTGTCAGGCAGAACGGGCCCACATGCAGAGTCGACGAGCTGTAATTCGCATGCTGGGTAAGTCCCATGGAAAACAAAACCATTCCATTGAAGTGAGTTCATTGTGCGGTTAGAAAAGTCAAACGGGTCTGATAACCCAACCAATACATACATACGACTAGTAAATTTATGCAGTATCCATCCACCAGCAAGTTGATATAGGCTTAAGATGATATGTTCTATGCTGTAAAGCATATTATTAATCATAGACTAATGTGAATACGACTTTCTCGCCACCATTTTGTGGTTACAGGCGCGCCACAAGATCAGAGCTATTTTTGGTTTTATATTGGTGAAAAAAATCGGGTGCTACCCGCAGGGAAAGATTATAAAGACTTTTAGTCCTGATTGTGCCCGTTAGTATGTAAGGTGTAGCCATCAGGATTTGTCTATCACCTTCTAAATTACTCCCAAGGGATGCAGGCAGGCAGACAGATGCGTGTTGCCGGTGAAAGCATTTTTCCGATGTATGTAACAGCTTGAATGGGGATAGCTGGAGATATTTTCGACATAATAACTACTTACTGTGCAGCGACAACTTGAACCTTAGCATCCTGTATTAAGTATTAATGGTAAAATATACAGCACGATAAGGGTTCCCTCTTCACATGGAAGTTGAAGGTGTATATTAACAACTTTTTATTTGTCATTCAGTTGCAATATGCATAGCGTTCTTCGTCTTGTGGGCCCCGTTTCATTCACAGGTGGGTGAAAATTTTATTTTTGGAACTCCCAAATTTTGTAATTATACTGCATCTGATCTTGTATATGTGTTAATTATTATTCAAGCGTCTCATGTTCGTGTACGTCACTTTATACGGCGAATGGACACCACTCCTCAGGGACCTCAACCAGAATATTTTTTACGTGGCAGGCAAGTATTCAAATATAAATTCACCAAATTCCAATTAAACTGACGTTACAAACTAATGGACTAGTCATGCAACTTCAGACGCAAATCCACACTAAAACTCTCTCATGGGAATACATGTGTTTCATAAACTATGTTTTGGCCACCACAACTTTGATCGCACACATCACAAATGAGAATTTGAGTTCAATATGATGAGAAAAGTTTAATAAAAGTTTAATGTTGTCGGGAATAGAAATTGTCCCTCGATATCAAGTATGAGTCAAAACAGGAACACTATAAATGCAAACATTAATTTTAAAAATATTAGATCGAAATTCAATTAGTGAATTTCATACATATCCGCACCCACAGAATCTGCACCTTCTATCGTAGATCCTAAAATCAAAAATATTAATCAAGAATGTATAATACATAGATAAACTATTCTCAGAATTTGAGCAACCACATTCCTCAGTCATGGCATAAATAATGCCAGTAAATATGTATGTATACACTAACATATTTGATTTCACGTCATTTCATTTCTTTGAAGTGGCTTAGCTCACCGTATGAACAATGTGTACGAGTTGTGTCAATAAAACAGGGGAAATCTACTACTTCGTAGTGGTGATTTTCACTTTTACTTGTTTAAATGCGTATGTAATTTCCAGAAATACCACTAGAAAACGAAATTCAGTTACGTCTACCAGCTTTCACCGCTACTCATTTGTGTATCGGCATAACATTGGATGAAATTCAATTGAATCCTGACTAATACTCAATGATTTTCCATTATGAAACACAATGCTACTTGAATCACCTATTCAAATATGTTATGTGTGCATATATTGTAAACAACTGACACATATTTGATCGCTCTTTATATATTTTACTTATGTATGTATGTGCTCATAAGGAAATGCTAAAAATTTATACTCTGCTGCTTTATTTTGCAGGAGTATTCTACTTTTTGAGCTCCACAACGAACCCTATACTTTACTCCGTAATGTCTAAACGATTTAGGTACGTTCATACATATCCGCATTGTGTAGGACAGAGATGCAATGATTTAATGCAATTGATTCCATGGTTTAGACGGGCCTTTCGGGACAAGTTGTGCCAATCTGACGGATGCTGTCTCTGCATGTGCTGTTCGGAAGTAGTAATTATCGGAGGGGGTGCGGCGTCAGCTCCACCTGGCCCCATTCGAGTTCGACCAGGAGACTCCCAGAGCACAACCACGCGACAGAGACTATTGGCCACCTATACCCCAGCCAACCGAAACCTATCCGTCAACAATCTCAACAGGCCTCAGAGAGAACTCACGTTTGCCCCTGGTAAGTTTCTTTATTTTGTTGTTAATATACTGCCTCTGCACAATAAAAAAACTCCTTTGTAATTCCAAAGTTTATTGCGAACGGTTCTAGTGAGTTGAGAGCGTGCTCATTTGTTAAAGTCATATAAATCACAGTGGCAATGTCCATGTCGATCGCCAAAAAAAAACAACTCTGCAAATTAGATGCTAGTTGTGTGTTTCACAAACCACGAGAAATCAGGTCACACCGGTCACGATGTGTAGCAACAATAAGAAAGTGAAAGTTGTAGATACAGACACAGAGAGCGGAAAACAACCCCTGGGCATGGATAGGATAGTTGTTGAAAGTTTCATTAAACGAGCAACAAGTCGAACTCTTGAGATTATTTTACTTATCCAAATGTTATCATCCTTCGAATTACAATCATCACACTTGTTACGATACTCATTCCCTAGGTTCACATCTCAGCACCATGAATCACGCATTCAGAGCACTGCTAACCACGTGAAAAATAACAGGCTACAAAAATGATAATCCACGAAAATAATATTGTCAGCGATTCTTATACCTGCCCTTTACGATCGACATTAGGTCGTCAGATTCTATTGTATAAATAGCAACATTTCCTCCAGAAAAGCTGACTTAATAAAAAAGAAGGTTGCCCTTTTCCTCCAGACTCGGCACAAAAGCTACTTTGGCCAATAGAATTAAGATTCTACGTCATGTGGCAACGAACCAAAACCAAACAATGGGGGTACAATCTGGCTATGTTTTTCAATTTTTTCCTGTACAAACCTGACAAATTTTTAGATAAATCTGATCAATACTGGATTTACCTAGAATTTTTACATTTTGCAGTTGAGAGGGCAGTTAACGAGGAGTTTTCCTCCTCATCCAAGGATCGATTGCGCACTTACACATACCACAAAGGCAACGGGACAAAGAAAAGTCATTCCCTCCCAGGTTAGCTAAAACTATTATTTTATTAATTTCATATCAAGTACATTTTTAATCGAGTGCAAAATCTGATTGATTTTATCCGATATTTTTGCCCAGACTCGGCTCTGCTTCCCCTATGCTGCATCAACAACTCGGACGGAGGTGGTCAACACTACAACGCTCCGACAAGTACTCAGCCAACTAAGGAAACGTCGGTGGAATGGATTCTCAGAAAACGACTTCAGTCCAAAAGTGATGGAGACTCCCCTTCAATTCTCGAGGAATTTCATACTCCAACTGGCGACCAGGGACTCTATCCGCAAGGTACGACATTACGTTCACTACAACTTCATCCTCATTAGTAACAAGGTACAATTTTCCTAAATTGACTTTAGAAGGTCCAAATCCCACTTCGAAAAAGGGGCCGAAAAAGGGAAAATCGGCAGATGATCTTTGTCGAAATACCGGATGCGACCTGGCAAACCATCCCGTGGAGGACGAGGAGGAAGAGGAGGGGGAATTGGATTTGGTAGAAGCCAAAAGCAGCTTTGGCCTTCCTACTGAAGCACTAATCCCAAAAACTCCTACGTCGGGTTTATCAATTTTGACAGCGGAGAAGGAAGAACCTCCACCACCCATTCCGATTCTCAGCCACAAGAATAAATTTATATACAATGAGTTAAAAGAAGATTTGAAACTTGAAAACATGTTGATTACTAGCCAGTAAATTCACGCCAATGCTTTATTATTATTCAAGTTCTTTATGGTTCATGTAATTATTACGTATGTATATGCATACTTCAATAGCCAACCCAATATGTTATACATGTGTCAAGTGTTATGGTATACATATATAAAACTTGTACAGATATTAGAATACTTTTGGGCATGCAAAAAATTAATGGATGGTGCTATTATTGACTTTCTATCACTACTATGTACATACATCAATGTGTTTGTGTAATCTAGTCTCAAAAGAACTTGAAGCAGTCGAACTCCGACATCCCCAACATGTCCAACTATCGTGTATTTTAATATTAATCAATTTAACGTGTTGTTGATTATTATTGAGGGTATTCGTTATTTCTTCGTATCCTTAGTATCGTAAAATAATTTACGAAGCTTACGATCTAATTATGAACGCCCCACACAAAAAACATCGTAAAAATTCACAATTTCATAAAAATTAGATCCTTTTGCCTGTATTTATAAACCGCACCCGATTTAAGCTTTAATAAAAATTAACTAATCATCAAATCTACTTACTACAATGCCTCGAGTGTCGAAAAAGTTAAAACTACTTAGTGATATTGGGGAATATGCTGCAGCTACCGCAATCCTAACTGAAGATGAGGGAGAAATCGACCAGCAAATTCTGGAATACTTTGAAATTATTGCAGTAATTCAGTCGCAACGGTGTTCTGTTCCGAGAATTCGAGTCCCAAAATCAGATGAATGGTACCTCAGTGTGTTGGCCTCGTATGACGACACTCGGTTCAAGAAATATCTTCGTGTCACACGATTTGACTTTGGAAGAATTCTGGAAATGATTAGATGCCACTCTGTTTTTCAAGAAGTAACGAAGAAACAAATTCCAATCGAAAAACAACTAGCAATTGCTTTATACAAGTTTGGAACCAACGGTACAGCGTCAGGAGTAGGAAACGTGGCAGCTTTATTTGGTGTTGGAGACGGTGGCACTGTGATGATGTCAGTTAGACGAGTGATTAAGGTCCGACTTTAGTTTTAATACCTCATACGCCTCTCAAACATGCACAATTTTATTTGTGTAAATGTAGGCTCTGCTTCATTTAAAGAACGATTGGATCAAGTGGCCATCTCAAGAAGACCGGAAGGTTATCGAAAATTCAATGGAAGCTGAGTTGCCAAAGTGCATCGGTTACATTGATGGAAGTCACATTAATTTGGAAGAATCTCCCAACACTGATCCAGAATCGTACTTTGACCGGAAGCAAAATTATTTTATTCAGCTCCAGGCCGTATGTGACAACTCTAGAAAAATAATCAATATTTTTGTTGGATATCCTGGTTCAACACATGACGCCCGTGTCTTCAGCAATTCGAAAATTGGAAAACATCCCGAACTATTTTTATCTGAAGGTCAATGGATTGCTGGAGACTGCATACCCGGTCACAGACAAAGTTGTTACTCCCTTTCGCAGGAACTCCAACTTTGGCAATGAGAGACAAAGAAAGGGTTTCAATAAATATTTCGCAAGTTATCGGGTGAAAATCGAGTGTACATTTGGAGTCTTGAAAGCAACATTTTGCAGTCTAAAAGAACTTCGTGTGCGCATTAACGACGAGGGTGGACACAAACTGGCGTGCGAATGGATCTCTGCTTGTTGCATTTTATATAACATTATTCTGGAGTCTCTCGACAAACCGTCTGAAGGGGATGATTACTTTGAAGACGAGGATGAAATAAACCCCCCACATCATCATGTTTACCGAAATGCAAAACGAGAGGAGATTTTTTATTTTGTGATTAATAAGTTGGGATTGTAATTTTTGTAAATTATATTATATAAGTTTATTGAGTTGCCACATTTTTTACGAGTAAACAACTAAAAATTTAACAAACGAATTTTTTTAACAATTCATTTAAGCCTATAAGTTAAGTGTAAGACCAAACTAATTAATTATTTTGAACGGGTGTACGTAATTTGGCAATTTCTAGCTTGAATTTCATCTCTTGATCAATTCGATATTTTTCCACCTCAAACTGGTTCCGGATTTTCTCTTGCTCTAGCTCAAACTGTTTAAACTTTACCTCCTTTTCTACTTCAAATTGCTGTTTTTGTAGTTCAAGTTGTAGTTCTTTCTGATGCTTGTCAAAGTCCCATTTTTCTCGTTGAAATTCGATATCCGCTTTATGCATTTCTTGTCGCATGATGATGAGATCTGACAACGCTTTTGATCCTGAGGAGGGGATCGGCGACCGAGATTTTCGCTTAGTTCCAATGCGAATAATTGGGTTATCTTGTGACGGTCCGACTTCTTGAACGTTTGTTAAATGGTCGTTCAAGTCAAAAAAGTTATCCGCCGGGACTTGCTGACCGCTGTCATTATTTATTTCAGAGGAATCCAGAGTGAATGGAGGGTTGATGCTGAGCTTCTCTCCAAATATCTCGTCCAGGGTATCAAAATGAGGGCACATTTGCTTAATTGTATCTGAATACCGAGAAAAATTATACGCTGGCCTAATCATGATAAGATACTTTAAATTAAAGCGTATTTACCCTTAAAGTACTGCTCTCCATGCTCCGCTAACACTCCTTGGCCTGTCTGACTCCTCCATGTCAAAGTTTGTTGGTACTTTTTTTTCAAATTTCCAACTTGATGACGAACCTGGGAAGATGAGCAGTCTGGTAGGATCACTTTCTGAAGGAGAGTTGCATAAAATTAAGTAGCGTTTGGTTTTTCAATACATTTTCCTGATTTTATGACATCCACTAAATGCTGCAAAACAGATTCGTTTTCATTTGAAGTCCAACATCTTCGTGTTTTAGTTGCTGCTTCATCCCCGATTTTAGTACTAGCCACTTCTCCTTCTTTTATTTTTTTTCTCGGTGCAATTTCTTCTACAATTTGATTGTGAAATTAGTTCGTAAACACTTTTAAAACGCATTTAAAAGTGAGAATTTTCGGCTTTGAACTTACGAAGAAAAAACAAGGGGTCAAGCTTCGTAAACATCGTAAGCGTAGTAACGCGTTTTTCGATGAGAAAATCTTACGAAGCTTACAAAATCTCGTAAGCGTCGTAAGTTATTTTACGATACGAAGAATACTAAGGATACGAAGAAATAATGAATACCCTCATTATTTACGAAGAATGAACCACTTTTGTGATATTTGGGTATTTTTTTATATTTTATGTAGATTGGTATGATTATTACAGTACATACAATTTAAATCTATGTACGTTAATATAAATATGTATAAATAACCTCAAGCTCAAAACACTTTGTTATCTTGGCTATCTTTGTTATCTTTGAAATGTTATCTTGGCCAGATACGGAGTAAATACTTTCTTATAACGGTATTAAGTACGTGTACTCTGTGCGTCATTTAAATTAAATAAAACTCACAAAAAAAGTTAGGGAGTCAAACTTTCTCCCTCCACTGTGTACCTACTGTACGGTGAATGTGTTAAAATTAAACTTATTGTGATTTAATACCTTATTATACAAATTGAAATTGTTCTTGTAATTATCCAGCACAGCCAACAGGCTGCATAAGAATGCTTTATTTATTTTCAATCCTGTGTAGTAGAACACTGATGGTTTTTTTTATTTACGTAATAAAATGATTTTCATCAAACATATTATATAGATTTGTGTATTACGCTTGAGACTGAACCTTCTACGAATAACAACAAAGTATGCAGTAACCTTTGACTTTCATGATGTTTTTCACATAAAGTCGGTAATGCGATACTTTCATTCGGCAGTAATAGCGCTGATTGATGTAGTTGACAAAGATGTTTTAAACTTCAAAGTTCGAGTTCGAGTTCGAGTTCGAGTTCGAGTTCCTTCCTTGGATGATTGGTGCTTGCATGGTGGTTGGTGGCCATTGGTGGGTGATGAAAATGAGTTGATGGAGTAGGCTCATGCAAGGGAGGCTTTGGAGCAGTGAAAGCAGCAGAAGCTTTATTACACGTCTAGAATTCTGAGATTGCTTTGGCTTTCCCTTCGTCGGTGTTTGGTTTAATCTCATTTTATTTGTAGATCCCTCAAATAATATCAAACTCGACGCGATACGACGGTATACATCACGATGACGGGTATGCCATATATTTTTTCTACTGCGATGGGATGATGCATAGGTTAAAAGTCAACGGGGATCGAAGAAGGGATCCACTTTGATTAACTCAAAGGTACTCGTGACTCAATTTGAACTCATTCAAGCTTGCGAGTTGTTCAAGGTACATCATGCCATTAGCAAACAAAGAAACTGCTATCCAGTCATAGGCCTTGTTAACAACTAACAACAGTACAACACTAGGATCTCTCCCACGTAGATCCTTTGTATTTTGCATTGGCTTTGAATGTGCACATCCTTTTCGCTTCTCGTATTCCTCAACGAAAAGGAGGTAGATATATCAATAGGATGAAGACAACTTGAAATTTTATGGGGTCCGGCGAATTGCTGTTAACGCAAAAATCTTTAGCCTTGAAAAATTGCATTGACGATCACTTTCTCCAAGGACGAATGGAAAGAAACAAACATTTAAAAAATGTAAATAGCTTAATTCTTTCATCAGTCACTCACTTCAAGGAATTATTCCCCTTCGGCTGTTCAGTAAATTTTTAGCCCGAGTCAGAGCTAATGGAACCATCATTTCCGTCTGCCTCCCGGTACTAATAACTCTGGTTAAAATCATCCTATTGACTTGAAATTTGGGTGGTACGGGGCAAATGAGGAGTAAAGTTCGAAGATGAGCAAAATCACTCAGGATCGCACAGTGGGCCAGATTTAATAAATTTTGGCCAAAAATACATAGGAGCCGAATTTGAAGAAAAAAGAATTAGATTTTGGTGTGCAACAATAATCTAAGGCATATATTATATGTGGAAGTTTTTAATAGTCACATGACACACCCCCAGTGGGTGTGGCTCTCGGCGACTTTTCGGTTTCAACGATACCATGTCATGTGATATATCATTTTTCTCAGCTCGACGAGGGGACCTCGACAGAAGCAATACAATTTTGACACCACACCCCCAGTGGGTGTGGCTCTAGGCAAATTGTCGATTTTAACGAAAACATGTCATGTGACACATAATTTTTCTCAGCTCGACAAGGGGGTATCGGCGAAATACCTAAAATTGGAAACCTCACCCCTAGTGGGTGTGGTTCTAATCACGTTGTCGATCTTAACGAAATTATATAATGTGATATATCATTTTTCTCAGCTCGACAAAGGGGTTTCGACTGAATACCTAAAATCAACGTTCAGCTACTTTTCGATTATAATTAAACCATGTCATGTCATGTACTACATCATTTCTCTTAACTAAGCGAGAGGGGATTTGGACAAAATAATTTGAATTGCATTACGTAAGCTATGAAAACCCCTTTTTCACAATTTCTTGCTGCATGTTTCAAAATTACGAAATAGCATACAAAGTTTTTAATTTTTACAAACGAATTTTTATAATTTTATTTTAAGTAATTTTTGAGAAAAAATGTTTTTGTTCTTTCGTTTCTGATCTAGCGTTACAATTATAAAACAGAATTTTTTGACAAATCTAAATTGGATAAACCTGACAATGCACTCAAAACCGCCACAACCATGAGCATTCATTGAAACAAAAAATACTAGTGGTGCTATTTCGGTGTGGGGGAAATATAAAATTCGAAAAATACAACTTTAGGTCGCTGAACACCACACCAACTGGGGGCGTGGTTTCAAAATCTAATAATTCTGTCGAAATCCCCTCGTCTAGTTGAGAAAAATTATATAACACATGAAGTAAAATTGAAAAGTCGCCGAGGGCCACACCCACAGGGGGCGTGGTTTATAAATTTTAAATATTGTGTCAGGATGCCTTCGCCGAGCTGAGAAAAATGATATATCACATGATATCGTTTCGTTAAGATCGACAATTGGCTCAGAACCACACCCATTGGGGGGTGCGGTTTCCAAAGTTTAAGAATTCCGTCGAAACCACCTCATCGAGCTGACAAAAATGATACATCACATGACATGGTTAGGGTAAAATCTAAACGTCGCCGAGGGCCACACCCACTGGGGGTGTGGCATGTGACCATCTGAACATTGCTGGTAGTGCCCACGGTGTCGAGGTATTTTTTCGACATGAAGTTCAATTTGTAGTGTTTGAAATTTAGCGATATGCATTAATTATATTTTATAATTTCTTTCACCTTGTGACCTTAATTTCGAGGGGGCGTGGTCGAATTCAAAAAATCTGGAAATATATATTTCGCCCATTGACCTTAGGTTTCCAAAACAGTCACAAATTTGAAAATCGGTGAACAATTTGGAAAGTAACCCGAATTTCAACTGTCAATGTTGTTAAGCATGACACGATCGGCCGTTAAGCCTTTCAGCAAGGAATGTCTTTAATTTATATGCCTCTACAATAGTGGGTGTGGTTTTTACAGCCAAAATACTTTCCTGGTACCACCTGAGTTTGCTGAGAAAGTCAAATAACTGAGTATACTTAATGTTTACTTGAGTAAAAATAAGTAAACTTAAATTTGACTTTTTTAACTTTAATGAATAAAAGTGGGTGTGGTTGGAATAAGGCTTGATGGTCGCAGCTGGTCGCAGCAGTGTATCATCCCAACACTATTACCTAATTAATGACGCCAGTAGTTAGTCATAGATGCACGGGAATAGGCGGGAATGTAAGAAGATGTAAAATCCCTATCTCCGTAATGTATTAGGCATATTTTAACCCCTTCGTTTATCCGATTGGCTTGAACTTGTGCCTTAATATTTCACACCAAGGTCAAGTTGGTTATAAAGGGTAAGATGACATACTAGTTAAGCCAAATCGCAGCACTGCCTTAACGGCCACTTTTTTAAATTCCTGGCCCACTGTGGATCGGTGGGGGTCATCAAAGTCGTTGGTGCAGAATATTCCGAATGGTCATAAAAGGCTGCTATTCGGGGTATTGGTCATATTTGTGCACTAAAGTGAAAATGAATGTCACAATGACCAAATGATTATTTAGAAGGACCCCGTAGGGTGACACCCATTGATTTTCTAAAATTTCACAGAAGCCTTAAATTTGGCCTGATCTTGCAGGGATAGATCAGATTAACAAATATTAAGTAAATTTTAGTGTTTTTGGTAAGGACTCAACAAGGTGACCCATACTGCTTCTTGAACGATTACGAATTGGTACTAGGATGACAAAAATTGAAAAGGGAACTCTGCCACTAACTCGGACTAGATCACTGCACTGTAGATTTTTTAATTCACTTCCACATTTCTTAAGAAATACGAAAAGGTGAGATAGCATACAGATACAAATTTTGGATGAGTATTTTATTAATAAAAATGTCATTCAATACGACGAAAAGCGTTGAAATATAAGGAATATGTCTAAAAGGTAACAATTAACAGGTAATATTTTGAAGCAGTACAAGACCCGCAATAATAACGGAATACTAGCTTCTGCTAGCATTATGTATATCATAGTTACAATGGAATACACATAGGTCAGAGATCATGTCGCTATTATGTGTGCATGTTGTATGTGTTAATAGTATTAATATTACTACAGTGGGTATACTCTACTGTACTTCTTGTGAATTCGAAGGTTGGCTTTCTTCTAATTCTGCTAGTAATGATTTCAGCTCTTCAGATGAGGGCTCAGGTCCTTTATTGATAAGATAATAGGTCATTAATTGACCTTTACCTTTCACATTAACTAAACCTCGTTGCTCAAACACATAGCCAAATAGGCGAAGAATTCGGTACGTCTCAGTTGTAACCTAAAAAATCACATGATCACCAATTTGTTTTACTTAAAATATATTCTAATGAAAAGTAGCAATGAAAACCAAGTTACTTGAATGCATCCACTGCGACCTAAAATTGTATAATGCAAATTATCAGACTTCAAATTATTTTAAAATTTGTATTTGAATCTTGCAAAGTATGTACATACCTGTGCTTTCCATTCTGGACGCTACGTTCACAGAGTTGCCCCTGCAAAAAAAATGATTTTGTTCACTGTTTCACTGAACGGTAAGGCTTAATTTTATTTTTTGGTTTAATTTAAATTTTTAAAAAATCAAACCAAATATCATAGTGCGGTTTACGGGCACCAATTACTCCAGCAGTTATCGGACCGTGGTTGACTCCTGTAATATACGCACGTATGTATAAGTACATCAATCAGTGTTGCAACATAGACAGCTAATCCTAAGGAAGCCTAACCCTAGTCAGGATCTTTACGCTTTCACTTTCACTAATTGTTAGTACTTATGTTTCATTCGAAACTTTTAGTATTAAGTTTCATATGTCGCAAACAATTGACAGTGACCATTCTGATGAAAATGATCGAAATCATCAGCAATAGTAATATGACAGACATGAAAAGCAATATTCGGAAATAGGTGGAAACACAATGAGATCGTTCGTGTTAAAAAATGCAAACTATAAACTTTACCCATCTTAAGTACAAAATGATTGAATGACTGCTCGTTAATTCCATTTAGAGAGACTTTGAGTTCTAAAGCAAATTCCACAAGTAACGCCAAATGATGCCAACGGACTTTGATAGGATCATCCGGCTGGATAAATGTATTCATTTTTTTACAACCAAGTAATTCAGATAATGACAAATTTCGCCGTATTGACATACCTTCGCCTGCTTCAGGGGATTAAGTCCGCTCGCTGTCATATAAGTTGCTGAACAATTTTTATATTCATTAGTATTCTGCCACCACTACGTCGTGATAGATTTTTAGGATTAACACTTTTTAAACTTACACCCGATTGTCTTGATTTTAATAATATGGTCTGCAAATTTCGGTAAATCCAAAAGCTAGAATATTACAATTAAGAAGCATTAAATACTTGCATTATTACAATTATCAATAGGAAACTAATAAACCTACAGCATCAAAGTCTGAAATGACTTCGTTCAAGAAACGCAAACACTCCAAGCCTTGGTTATTCACTGTCTCTTCCGAGTAAAAATCTGAAAAATTATTTTGAAAATCATTTTTTTCATTCAGTATCTTTAGTTATATAAATTATTTTTTAAGACTCCTAAGCTTAACGTATGCCATACATATGTAGTACGAACTGCTTACCAGAGAAATTCGGCATTGATGCAAATAATATTCCAACTTCAGAATAACTTTGACTGTAAATTCATAAATTTTAGCATGTGTATTTATTTAAACTATTGGGAAAACGTATAGATATCCGGCTCCCTGGAAAAATGTGAAGCAATGGTAATTTCATGTAGACATTATATATACCTGTAAAGCTCTTCGTGTTTTCTTCTCCTTGACCCTAAGAAATGTGCCGCTACGTGTTGTGGCAAAATGTTATATACCTGAAAAATATTGGCCATTCAAAATGTACCTTTAAAAATGGCATATTCATTTTTAAGTAGGTATACTAAACGTCACTTACCAAAGCCTCGTTTTTCTGTCTTAATTGTGTAGCTTTTTCTCGTTGTAGTTCAACGTCAGTTTTCCACAAGAAGAGAACTCGTGACGATTTTTCAAGCTACATAGAGTTAGAATATAACGCAATTACAATTAATTTGATTATAGAGATAAACCAGTGTCACTTATAACTGCTCCACTTACTCTCCGTGTGAGGGCAAAAAGATCTCCCAGGACCACAATGGCAAACAAAGCTAAATAGCATTCTGCTGGAAGTAGCCTGTTCAAGCAATAAAGTTAAAACGATAAAGTTAACATATTACGAATAATAAGGGGAGTTGAGCAGCCATTAACAGAGAGCAGTTGTAATTAGTCAGTTACCTGTCATCCTCATTAGTAATTAGCCTTTCTGAACATTCCAGAACTTGCTTGAGAGGGTTGGTGAAAATGAGGATGATGTGGACAACCGTGGCACCCAGAATGATGAATGATTTCACCCAACTAACATCATAGAGGAAACAATAATCATGCATATCACTCAAGTATATGTACAGTGCTACATTATTTACATGTACACCAATTCAAATCAAATCAAATTACGTACCTTCCCAGGTATGGTAGCAAAGTCACAGACAATAAAAATACGGTTTCAAATCCAATGGAATAAGCTGGAAATAAACATTTGATGGATTGCTCTGTGGACTTTTCATCCGTATTTGGTAGCACCAGAGGAGGCTCAACTTGGTCGAAATATTCACGAGTGATATTGTAACATCCATAAGATGAGAGACATGGTACCTATTTATTATTCGCAACAGTTCCCTTTGTTATTATACCACGGCGATTATTCGATTACAATATATGTATATTGCAAATATATTGTTCACCATAAATGCTAGATTAGCAGCAATAAGTAGTGCTGCCGTCAATATAGACACAAGTCGCCGAACCCACAATTCAGACTCCAATTTGCAAACGGAATGCATGATCCCTGACAGTTTCTGAGGTGATACCACCAGGTCAGTTTTCATTAGGATAAAAAATGTATGTACAAGTATGGAAAAGCAGGACACTTACCATTATTCTAGACTTCAGTGGGGAATCTTCGCAAGCTGCAAAGGAGCTTAAAAGACTCAATACGATAACGCCAACAATGAGTACAATGAGTCCCAAAATGTTGAAGGATATTGCAAAAAAATTTGCCAAAGCCACCGATACAAGGGCTGAAATACAATGGAATGAGTTAATATCATATCTGATACTAGTCATTTCGCTCATTTGATAAAACAATATATATTTGCAATTTTGTTGCACTTGTGAAATTCGTTAAGTCCAGGTTCATGTAACGCAGCAAAAATATGTAGTGCAGAGCCGCATATTATTATAATTTCTTACCTGTTGGGCAAATTGCTGAATAGATTCCAGCATATGGATCTTTGTGTTTTGTAAATTCTGACTCTTTTTCGGCATCTTGAAACTTGAGAGAAAGCCATTGGGACTGGCGAGATAGATCCCTTTGAAAAGATGTAAAATTACACAAACCGTTTTGCTGATTCAATCCAAACTTGCATATATTGTACATGAAAGTATTAATGTAAGGATGGCAAATGGATGGCATGCTACTTACTAATACGCATGTCCATATAAATAGAATCACAATACATAAATAATTACAAAACAAAACAATTACTTGTAGCCATCTCGCGACAACAGTTCTTCTTTAAGACGTAATCGGTATGCTTCCAAGTCTGATTTTTTCCTCGTGGCTTGCACATCATCCCCAACGCTCTAATTAATGCCAAAACAATAAGTATCTTTTATTTATTGTTGAATATTTGAATTACGTAAATTCAAGACTTTTTAAATTGTAGACTTGCATTTGAGTCCTCTGCAACAGTGGACATTAAGTCGGATGGCATATCTTTGGTGATTACATCATCTGGTTGAACATCCCCGTTTTCAGCAATTGTGCTTGCTTTCACTTCCTTAAACTGTACACAAAATAGTAAATACAAAAAATAGTATATAAATTCGGAGTGGGTAGTTAGCATAGTTGTAAACTTACAGGTACCAAGGGTCGAACCTTAAATATAATAAAATAGGGAATGTAATTTCATCTCATACTTACATACATGTGTCAATGAATTAATGGTATAATAAATATTAGTGCATACGATGAAATAAGTCTTAATTCCTGCAATTCTTAGAATTTCTTCTCTCTTTTCTCCGTGGGCAGGTTCTACTTCAAATTCGTCATTCAAGAAACCAAGAGTTGTTTCAGAAACGTGAACTCTTCCAGCTTGACCTAAAATATTTATTCCGCACATAGCTAATAATGTTTTAATTGTTAGACAATCATCAAGTGGCGAAATAAATTACCCGACGACTCCATTTTGTTGGCCAGTTCAACATCTCTCGAATAAATGTCAAATTGCCTAAGACAAATATCAAATTGGTATTTTAACCGGTGTGTTACTTCTTAGGAGGGAGCTTCCGAGGTTGATAATAACAGGTCTTGATGTCCTCTGGATATATGATAGTGCCCCATGAATGAGTGTACTAAAACCCTGAAGCGGTTTGACTCCATGGCCACATTTACGCCCGCCACACCCACTCAAAGGTGCTCAAAAAACGCTTTCACTCCAGCTTTCACTCCAGCTTTCACTCACTCAAATCCACGCCAAAAATCCAATTTTACTCGGATTTTGAAATTTCTTTCACAATTATACTCCCAGATAGTTGCATCAAACTCAACTTTTTTGAAATTTTTAGTATTTTTAGTATTTAAAATTCTGAGTGAGCATTGTTGTAACATCAACAACGCAAATTATGCCTGTGAAATAATAATCAAAAAAGTTGAGTTTGATGCTGGATATAAGAGAGCAACTATCTGGGAGTATAATTGTGAAAGAAATGTCAAAATCCGAGTAAAATTGGATTTTTGGCGTGGATTTGAGTGAGTGAAAGCTGGAGTGAAAGCATTTTTTGGGTACCTTTGAGTGGGTGTGGCGGACGTTAATGTGGCTATGGAGTCAAACCACTTCAGGGTTTTAGTACACTCATGGGACCCTACCACATATCCAAAGGGCATCGAGATCTGTTATTATCAACCTCGGAAGCTCCCCTCCTTAAATAGGAAATACAGTGATCATAAGTAATGCATGCATAATGGATTTACCACTGCCTCTGGCCGAGAACTCCTGCCAAAATAGCACCTGTGTCAATTCAATTAAATTCAACCTTTATTTGAGTGTTAATAGATATCAGTTTACAAAAAAACTGGTTTGAAAAAAAGCAATAAAAATAAAATAAAATAATTACGAGTAACATAGATAAGTTTAACAACAATGTACAACCTGTATGTACGCCGACGCGCATATCTAAATGAACAGTATCCAATTAAGTTAAGTCACTTTTATGAACAATAAGAATTTGATCCATTGGCATTGTTCTTACCGACGCATGATTTAGTCTTTTCCCGTACATATTTTATTGCTTTCACCATTGATAGCCCCATATGCACACATAAAATTGCATGATCTGGTCTTTCCTCAGGTGCTGTCATCATAGTGCACAAATATATTCAGATAAAATTAAGTTCAAGCAATTAATATATAAGTACACTAACCCCCGCAGATACTGAAATAAAAAATAGGAACCAAAATTATACTTTCAATATTTTGTAATATTTTGTGCATCTGTGTAACTACAACATAATTAAAATTACAAACCAGTAGTAGCAATCTCCAAGAATTTTAATTCTTATTTGACTGTATTTCTATTTTTAAAATGCAGAGAAAGTAATCAGTATTTCATTTAAACTTTTATATTAAAAATTACTTACTTCTGCCAAACGGTCGAATCTGGCAAAGAGTTCATTTAATATTTTGACAAGTTCAGATGCAGAATAGGTCGAGGAGATTGCCGTGAACTGACAACAAGAAAGGCAATTTACAATTTACACATAATGATATATAATCGAGTTTTTGTGTAGAAAATTAGGTCATGAGGATTTAAGTCTGAAAAATTTTAAGCCCGAAAATTCACTTACCCCGACTATATCCGCATATAGAATGCTGAAATTTTACAATATTATCACATTTGCTACTTATGGATTATTATTATTTTGACTGATTACCTGACATTTTCGTGTCTGCTCATGTAACCTGAATTTAATATTTTTTTTATTAGTTTAAAATTATTGGTTTAAAATTAAGAATTAATCGTATCTTATTTACAATTTTTGAACTGCCCATCAGTATTACCTAAACGCGTGGAGTAATTATTTTAATCAAATCGGGATTAATTATGTAAATTAAAATGTATAATGGTTTAATCTTGTACCCAAATCCTGTCGCATTTTTAAAGCTAAATGCTCCGGCAATACGGATAACAGTAACCGTTCCTGCAAAATTAAGCAGACACATATTTTAGGAATTTTCATGTTTCTGCATATCATGACATCCACTTGTCTATGAAAATGCGTCACCTGCTCTTTGGACTGTTCTTCCATCAGAAGTTTCATTTCGAGGGACTGTCTTGTATCAAGAAATCTGGAATGCATTTCATAAATTGTAATTGTAACTATATTGTATTGTCACTTGGTGCATAATTCCTTAAAAATCATCACATCAGAGGCTCATTCTATAAAGTACTTACGCACGCCGCTGCTTCTTATCACTCAAATAAAATGACACAAGTCCCATCAAGTTGGTCATTACCAGCAGAATGATGTTTGCTCCAATCTATAATGAAAAGAACCCGAACCAATATCCATCAATGTACCCAACAATAGTTTCTAATTTACTTTATTCGACTATCCATAGTTGCGAAATGAAATGTGGAGAGAACAGGATAACAACTCGGGTATAAAAATAACGACGGTGAGGTTGGTATTATTACAGTTAAGGTTCATGACACCATAACCGTAAAATTTAATTACAACAGGGAACTAACATTAGAACTTCTTTTATCTTTATCTACTTCAAATTCGTGTGATCCAAGTCTAATGAACCATTTTAATTACTCGGCAAGGGAAAACAGTTTTTGTTGTAACTGGAGTTTTGTGTATGCAATACTTCCTTTCATGTGGAGTATTGTAGGTGAAAAATAAAGCTATATAAAATGACGGAACAAAGAACAACGACAGAAATAAAAAGGTCAGAGGTGGGTTCCATATTAGGGATGACAGATCTTAAAAATGTGTTCACTACATGGTATATGTATACGCGGATAACGAGGAGGTGGCATTATTTTTCGTTCCATCACCCGACCTCTGGGTTAATTGGGCCAATTTGAGAGAGAGAGAGAAAGAAGTTCACTTTCACTCACCTGCTTCCCGAGCTGGAAATGGTTGTTGGGTCGACAGGACGTGACCAGAAGGTAAGCCGTGCCGAGGGAGGCTGTGTAGAAGAATGCTGCACGAATCCTCATGGGCAAAGTCACCCAAATGAGAAATGTTTCCAAAATTGCCCACCCAATGCCGAGTCTGGGCGAGACGGATGACTCCATGTCCACAGCAACGGAGAGAAGAATCAGCAAGGACCAAATGAGGACGGGAATGTGGGCATTTTGAGGAACTCGTGGTATCGGTAGCAGCATCAAAAGTATTATTATTCCAGCAAAAATCAGCAACACCATCATGCAAACGATGTAAACCATATTTTTAGCCAATATATCAGCTTTGTCCAATTCCTCGTCTTCATCCCCAAAATGTTGCCGAAGGGCTTGAGTTTTCTTGGATTTCACTCCAACACCACCACCACCGCCGCCACCAGCATGTCGTCCAACCAAACTTTTTATTCTTCTCATATTATTGATATTCTTATTATGATGCACGGCGGTTGACTTTGTATCTGTTGCAGTGTCAGAGTGCAAGTTGGACTGCTGGGGAGTGCTGAAGGGTCTACTGTTGCGGGTGTTAAGGTCAGAAGCGTCAAGTTGCTTTGAGCTATGAATCCTACTAAAAATTGTGTCGTGATGAGAGTTAAAACTAGACTTGGAGTGACGCTTATTATTTGGTTTAATTAGTGGGGAATTGAGAGAATTTTCAAAACTATCGACGAAAGATCTTTTGGACTTGAAAGAAAAATGAGTATCCCAGTTGTTCCATGATGGATCATCTGCAAATTCATGGTTCAAGTCAAACTCACACATCCCTCCTTTCTTTACCACTGGAGCAAAATTTAATCAAACCTGCTTGTGGCATTGCCACCGGATCGTTCGACCCATGCCCATAGTCCGAACTGTCATCATGATTGTCAACTCCATTCACATGTAAACTATTGTTATGATTGCAAATCCAAGCTGAGATTACCTAAACCACGAATTATTTAACACGTAAACATATATGTACATACATTCATATGCAGAGCACGTTGTTCACAAAAAGATAGGATTTACATGGAGGATAAAAATGCATGCATTCCATTTGTATGTAATTATAGAAATTATAAAAAAAGTATATTATGTACGCCATCGACTATAGAAAATGCATGCGGTCTGCATCACAAATTAGGAAGTGACAAGAGGAACTTACATAAACATGTGCCAAGCAATAAAAGAGAATGGCGTAGAGAAAGCATCGGAAAAGCTCAGTTCTCTTTTGATTGGCGGAATGCAGCTGATACAACTCTGAAATAACAACACGACGAAATTTTAAACCAATTGCTATCAACAAACGACAACCACGATTTGGAGGTTGAGTTACCTTCAATTTCAGGATCAAACTTGTGGCTGGTGAACAAATGTTTGGATTTATTATTTTCATTCACCGGCTGGATTTTTACCATACTCAGGCTAGAGTCACAGCGCATTGGGCCCGTTTCCACCTCCATCGTGACTCTGGCACACTCGGCGCAGACCTTTTATCGTAATCGGCTTTCACTTCACATACGTCAACAGAGTTTTACTCACACCATTATTGTATTCAATTGTTAGGCCAATCCCACCATCCGATGAACTGAAACCCCTACCTTCGAGCACTTCAATTTTAACTCACTTCATTTGCATGAATATTTGTGTTGTGTCTTTGAGAATTTAAAAATCAAAGCAGTTCCAACTTTCACCATTCACTTTCACTCTACTTTCTTTCTTCCAAGTGAAAGGTGAGTGACGACTAAATCGATCCACGTCTACGAAATCGAACTACAACTCTGTTCATAATTACTTGATGGTTTTATATTGTTGTGAACTGGAAAGTAGAAAGTGCAGGATCCATTCTTCTCAATCACTACTACAGGAGAGAGTTTGGCGAGAAGTGGTGGTGGTGGTGGGGAGCCAGATTTTGAGATTCCAGTCTGGTGATCTGTGATGGGAAGAAGCTAAGCGAGAGATTCCCCCACCGAATCCAATGCTTGTGCTTGCGAGGTAGCAGCAGTGGCAGCGAGACGAGATAAAACTTTCTTCTTCTTTTGGGTGGAGCGGACGGTGGCCGTATGTGCACCGTGACACTGAAGATTCTCTCACACAACTGCTGCTGTGGGGAAAGCACGTCGGCGCGGTGCTTGGCTAATATTTTATCGCTCAGTCCGTATGCAGCCACAAAGTTCGGCTCGCTCTGAACAACGCCGATCAATAACCCACATGCATCTCAACTCTCGCTCTCTCCGGAGCTCACACAAATGGAGAAACTCATGAAATGTTTTGAAGGCAGTTCAAACACTGCAATGTTGTGATTACTTCTACTCCTCGGGAAAGGGGCAAAGTGGGACGGGAGAAAGTCGTTTTGTATGCGTTTACTTTCCAGAGGTTGCTTACTTTCAGTTAGGTGAGGGAAATCTATCTCGATCTAGGTATCCACCAATGATATCACCACAAAATAGCTCGAGTTACCTTTCTCCACCTTTCCCCAATGTACTCTGAGTAATAATAAGACTCATGCTTCGAGTGAGTGAGATACCTCCGTCTTCCGGGCCCGGGGCTGCTGCTGGAGTTAAGGGTTCGCTTAACTGCTCAGTGTGGAGTTCAGACTGGCTGACTGACTGATGAGATGATTTTCTCTATATTTTATACCACACACATTCACAACTATCTAACAACTTCACTTTCCCCGTGGTGGTGAAAGCCTTAAAATGCGATGGTGTAAAGTGTAACACTCCGATTTTGCTGAAATTTTGGGATTATGAAGTTAAAGTCAATACAACCAACGGTTGTTGAGGCAGTTTGTGCAATGGTTGGAATTTGTCAAAATCTTTGAGGTCAAAGTTGTAAAAATTGGCGATTTTTATCTGGCGGAGAAAGCAAACTTCAATTCCACTCTATTCTCGTCACATTAATTTTCACTCTGATTTCTCATACTCGGGCATAGGCCTTCATCTTCGTATAGCATAATACGTGATGCAAAATAATCAGAACTTAATCACGGTATAAAACATTTCACAGATTTCATACACGTTTAATTTCCTTAATCATTAGAGATGACACGTTTATTTTTTTAATTACTCTCAATTTATATAACAATTTAATAAATGTATAAATTCAGAAAAAACAAAATTAAATGGAAAAGCTTAACTTGTTTTCCAATTCTAAAGCTCTGGTATGTCGAAAAACAAAATAATGCAATACATTCATATACCGTCCAATATATCGAATTGGGTATCAAAATGACCAACGCTTTAGGAATGAAAAGTAAATTATATGTAAGTTTTCCCAGTATATTTTATTTTTTCTGAATTGATGCATACATTCAATTTTCTATACAAATTTATAGCAATTAGAAAAATATAAAAATCACATAGCCAAACCATCAAAAATTAAGGATATCCTTAATTTTACATATAATTTACTTTTCATTCCTAAAGCGTTGGTCATTTTGATACCCAATTCGATATATTGGACGGTATATGAATGTATTGCATTATTTTGTTTTTCGACATACCAGAGCTTTAGAATTGGAAAACAAGTTAAGCTTTTCCATTTAATTTTGTTTTTTCTGAATTTATACATTTATTAAATTGTTATATAAATTGAGAGTAATTAAAAAAATAAACGTGTCATCTCTAATGATTAAGGAAATTAAACGTGTATGAAATCTGTGAAATGTTTTATACCGTGATTAAGTTCTGATTATTTTGCATCACGTATTATGCTATACGAAGATGAAGGCCTATGCCCGAGTATGAGAAATCAGAGTGAAAATTAATGTGACGAGAATAGAGTGGAATTGAAGTTTGCTTTCTCCGCCAGATAAAAATCGCCAATTTTTACAATTTTGACCTCAAAGATTTTGACAAATTCCAACCATTGCACAAACTGCCTCAACAACCGTTGGTTGTATTGACTTTAACTTCATAATCCCAAAATTTCAGCAAAATCGGAGTGTTACACTTTACGCCGTCGCATTGTTAGTAGCCGCACTATTTGTTCGGTCGCTCGTTTACTCGAATTGGATTGAACTGAGAATTGAGGACTTATTTTCGCTTCTTCCCTTCGTTCCTTGTCTCCTCTTTTTCAGCGAGCAAGTGAATGAGTAACATTTTCTGGCGATGAGGTGTATGTCGTTATGAGGTTACTTTTGCATGAATAATGCACTTTTTACTCGTCCTCCATTTGATTGGAATGGTGCTTAACGTGAAATGCGAGGGTTATGTTCTTCTGCTTTAAACGAGGCAAATGGAGAAGGATAATATTTCTGTCAGTCACATAAACTCACTGACTCTGGCTGACAGACAAGGTAGAAAAGCTACCAATCAATTTTCTCTTTCACTTATCTCTCTATCTTGCCTCAATATTTCTTGCCTTCCAGCTCTAAAGTTAGGATAGGACAGATAGGATTATTATTGGTTGGATTTCTGGCTGAAGCCAAACTCATAATGGATTATTGGCTTCCGAAAACTTTTCTTTTACTGTCAAGTGTACCTACATAGTTTCTACTTTTTAAATATAATTTGTAGGGATGCGATCAAGCTTGAAATTGTGGATGAAAATATTATTGGTGATTTAAATACTAATTGTAAGTAACTAGATAATACTTGCTAATGAGTTAAAATTAGAATCTTACAACGATTTTTACTATTAACGAAACAAATGATTGGTCAAAATTGCTTGGTTCTATACCAGGGAATTACAGGCTCTTTTATTTCTCTCTGACTCCAAGTTTTGACTCGAGCAACAAAGTCGAATGTTTGTTATCTCGTTTCAAGTAAATTTATCGGGAGCGCATAAGTCTACTTTAGCCAGGAGTTTTGCTGAATTTACTTTACTAGCAGCTTCTCCGCCAGTTGTTTATTCAGGTACAAAGCCGGCAGAGAACTGAGAATGAAATAGGTAAATCAAAATCGGCTCGAAACCACTCAAGGATAACACCAGGCGATGGGGAGTTGAGGAGCAAATGGTGCGCCTTCTCTATACATGCATAAGCTATTCACCTGAGAAAGGCAACCTCATCTCAACCTGTGTTCATGGGGTTCCTTGTAACAGGAATGACTAGAAAAGGCTAAAAATAGACCCGTCGACCTGTATTGATAACAAGGACTACAAATAATACACAGTCCTTGCGTTGGGTGGGAAGGCAAGATGGGAACAGTGCCGAGAAACACGGCCAGCTAAATAGGTATGTAAAAGCACCGCATGAAGGAGTCTGGCTTTCTCCTCCTGCTGAACAACAAGGAGAAGAAGAGAACCTTTTGACTTGACTAGGTCGCACTGTCTCCTTAATAAGATAATTCAAAGCCTGCAGACAGAAGTTAATGAGAAATCTCGGCTTATGTACCAAGGAAAGTCCTCGGGACGAATTAGGAAATTGCCTCCTCTGATACGATTTGCATTGAACAACAATGTGTTGCATGGACGCACGATGCTCGCCTGAGCTAGTCTGCTATATTAAGCCAAGCAAATAGGATGGACTTTGAATTATGAAATAAATCCTTGTTGATCGAGAGTGGGATTCAAGTCACTCTTGGTGTACCAGAGCTAAATAAATTGATACAGAAATACTGACCGAGAAATATATGTATGTTGCCAGTGGTATAAGGAATAAGCAAGGGCACAAAGAGCCCAAGAAAAGACTGACGATGACTACAAAGAGGTATTCGTGTCAATGACGAGCAGACTGGCAAAAATACATATTAGAAGTAAATTTTAGAATTATTATTAAATCGGTAAGTAACTAAAATAAGGAAAAGTGTATAATAGTACTCGATAAACGTTGATTGCATTGCATCCTACATAAATATTATCTGGATCTATGTTACGAAATAATGATTGGGATTTTTTACAATACATACGCACGTTGTCGTTGCTTAATAACTTTGCTTCTGTTAACTACAATGTCTTGGAAGTTATCTGGTGTCATTTTATTATTAACACAGACATACTGATAAAATAAAATACACTTATTGTTAGTTGGTTTTGGACGTAGAGGAAAAACCCGATGTTGGTGGGTTGGGAAAACCTCTACTTGATTCGGATATGCGTACGAGATCACCGTTCGGCCTCTTATAAGATTTTTGTAAATAAATAAAATGTCTTAATTATTTGTAAGATCAGGGTCCATTGACTGAATTTTTGGAGAATTTCTAGATATGTACGTAAGTGCATCATTAACTACCTTGCTAATATGTAATGTGATGTACCAAATAAATATCAACAGTTAACTTTGAGAAACACATTATAATTCAAGGTGTAAATCACTAGAACATGTAACAACTTTCAAACGACATTTATGCATTTTCCTGTTCTATTTCCCACAATAATCATAATTATATAAAAATTTATGTTCATTTTTACAAGCAGATTTTGTTATCATGACTTGTTTTTATTGGTGTTGTGTTGAAGGTAATAATAATTGTGCTACATGTTACATGTTTTTATTATATTATATCTACAGTGAGTATTATATTATATCTACCGATTTTGCAATGATTTTTGTCTGATATGCGACCCTTTTTCCAATAAAAATTATACTAGTGAATATCATTGGTAAAACATGTCATTCATCATGATCCAATTTAATGGAATATTGGCTGATGAAACTTGACCGTCCTTTGTCTAAACTATTTAATATTTATTAAAATCCCGGTTCTTGCATCACTACAATGAATGAAAACACCAAGGAAAGAATAAAACATTTCATCAGTATTAATAAATAGTTGCAACAAGTGGACCATTTTCCTGCCCAAATCTTCTTCGCATTAATTGTCTTCCTCCAAGAGATCAAAATGTTTCATCATCCTTCTTGCTCAGATCTCACCCAAACCTCGCTCAGCCATTATTGCAGAGCCGTTTACTCTGTGCTAACTAAAGTATGTATGTATATATACAAGTCTGTGGTACTAAACATGTATCCACATATTTATTATTTTATGGCAAATTAAATATCATCCAAGTCAGTCCACGTTGAATTACTTTATGTGACGTGTTTTAACAACCCACCAATCCAACTTGCTGATTATGTATGTGACCTCTCTCTTGCTGAAGCCTCAAAGCTTGTTTATTCGCAGATACAAGTTTTGGCAAACCCCTCGCAGATTGCAAACCCCACCACCAGACACCAATTCGGCACTACTATTATTATTGCATCATCATCATGATTCTTCTGTCTAAATACGACAGAGAGGCAGTGTGAAATGCTAAGCTAACGTGTGCTTCTAAGGGGCCGTACATAAAGCATTTCATCAATTTCGGAGAATTTTGACCACTACCCCAGGTGTGACTTATATGCTCCATGTTATGAAATGGGAAGGATATGACCTTACCCCTCCCCCATCAAATCTATCACATGCTTTTTGCACAGTCCCTCCCTATTCCACAGAAATCTGAGCTCTGCTTACATCAGCCGAAGCGAGCTTTCTTTTTCTCATAAACATAAACCTCACTACGATTCGGGTTAGCTAGTCGGCTGTTACTGCTCCCGTAATTTAATTAAATTACTGCTCGTCATTAAAACCCCCATAGTTAAGGTGACGCCTGGACACTTTGCGTTTGTACGGTGGCGAATAAAGGTCTGGACCAGTGGTCGAGTACCCTCTTCCCTCCCCTCGTAATTGCTAGAAATCACGATAATCACGATAACCTCAATCGAACTAATCTACGTGGCGATAGATAGAGCAAGCGGATAAATAGTAAACAAGACTGACTAAGACACAAGGATTTGAAACAGAAAGCATATAAATTAATTCCCTTGAAAAACCTGATATAACAATTAGAAACGACACTGCTTATTTTTAAAACATCAAGTGTAATAAAAATAGTTCATCATGGAATCATCTTGGTGAAGTTTGATTAGGTAAATTATGTGGTATTATCTTTACACTTTATGTGACGTGTTCTTCATAAATTCGACTTAGTATGGAAAGCAAATTATATTAATGCTACGTTTTCTTTATTTCAGGTTAAGTACAACCTCCAAAAAGAAACCACTGCATACTCATCAAGGCATCACATCAGTACGACGCAGATTATTGCATCATCTTTCGATATATATCCAGTCAAATAGAACCTTTTTCTCACAACCGCTGAATACATCACTTTTCAACCCAATTTCATCATCTGACCTTCATTTATAATGGCAACCGCAAGTATTTTTACCAATGATGCAAATTCGCCTACTTCTTTCACCCCCACTTCCTGGCAGAATGCAAGAAGAACGAACGTCGTCGTCGGGGGAGATAGTCTCGGGAAACGTTCCGACTCCCAAACGCGACAGGATTCCTACTTTTCTCTCTCGGGGGACGAGTCGTCCAGCGACGGTTTCTTGCGACGTGTGGAAAGGAGAAACAATAATCTACAGGATCTCAATAGCGTTAATAATAGCAGAAAGCTTGGGGACAATGGTAATTGTGGAGTTCAATCCAAAACGTTTCCAGGAGTATCCCTCCTCGCTGGAAAGTACCTCCTCTTCCCTGAGGCGCCCTTGGTGGGGTCAATGCCAAGAAGAGTGGGGTCCGCTCCTAAGGCTGAAATGACTTGTTTGAATATACAAACAAAGGAACAATTTTCTTGCAAGGTAAGTAATACTAATAATAGTATAAGAATATGTTAATAAGGAGACAACTTTGGGTCAAATATACCCAATTTGTCAAGTCGTCAATGTAAAAATAAAAAAAACTAACTTGGAATGCATATTTATTATATTGTAGGTTGTTCAAAGAAACCCAGCAGGCCTTAGCATGCTAGCTGCCTATTATCGACTTGACGACTCGACAGATTTCGTGAGCCAAGTCATTGAAGCCATCTTGACACCCAAAATTCTCTATCTAATCATGCCAAAGCATTATGGTAATGTCCATTCGTACCTGTTGGAAAGACGAACCCTCGAAGAGGCAGAGGCAGCAAATCTCTTTAAGCAAATGGTGGAAATAGTCCAGCACTGCCATTCTAAAGGCGTAGTCCTTAGGGATATCAAAATGGGCAAATTTGTTTTTGTCGGTAAGTAACAGTTACATGGACATTTTTAAATCTTTAATTGATGCGGATTATTATATTTCTGTTTTATAACAGTTTGCAAAAACATTAATGAATGGTAATCTTTTCTTTGTGTAGACAAATCCAAGACCAAGGTGAAGTTAGAGTCGCTTGAGGATTCGTGGATACTCGTGGATCCATGCAATGATCAATTGGACGATAAACATGGATGTCCTAATTACGTTAGTCCCGAAAAGGCGGAAACTCTTCAAACGAAGCTCAGATACCCTGGAAAAGCGTCAGATGTGTGGTGTCTAGGTGTTATTCTTTACACCATGTTGACCGGGAGGTACATAGTTAATTTAAATTATATTTGTCGTTTTTTTTACAATCGGTACGAATACTTACTTATTTTATATGTTTTCAGATACCCTTTCAATGACCAAAATCAATCCAAGCTTCTCCACAAAATACGTGTGGGAAATTTTGCAATTCCACCTGGCCTCTCTTCATCAGTATCACTTCTTATTAAAACTCTGCTATTAAAGTCTCCTGCTGAGAGACCCCGATGCAATGAGATTCTAAAAAGTCCATGGCTGACGAAACATTGTGTATCTACTCCATCCATGCTTATCATCGAAACCAAACCTCTCGGGAAGGAGTCCTGTATTGACAACAAAACCCAAACACCTCCACCAATACCCACCGTATGTATGCAACTTGAACAACTCACTTCCGACCAAGTTGTTCCAGATTTTTAATTTCTCGTCTTGTTATTAGTCCCTATAACGTATTATATTCTATCCGCATTTTTTGTTAATTTTTTTCAAAATTGTTATACTACCAGTTTGGTAGTACCAAACGGCTTCCAAATTCAATTTTATAAAAATTAAGAAATGCATACATACTTTGTGTTCAGTTTGCAAGCAAGGTTTCGCGATATGTACGTATGTCATGTCCTATAAGTTTTTCTTTGTGATATTGAATTCCGAAATAAATTAAGTATGGCGAAACTAATAAACATTAATATTCATTCATAAATTGTGCTTTTCACAATATTCCCAATGTCTTCTATATGAATTTTAATTTTCTTAAGAGTGTATTTATGTACATTATACATTTGCGTGCACCCGCATTAATGCAAGTAGTACTTGCCAAGTACTGAACTTTAGCAATGGTATCACTGGTAATATTATCTCTGTGCAGTATGTTTTAAGTTATGCATGTATTTTGAAGACATTCTCCTCGTCTTTTCTCCTTTGCAGGCAAATTAGTAAGCACAACAATTAATTAACCTCATGGTTGATGAAAGTGTGTGAACATGTTCAGGTAAAAAGTAACAACATAGGCAATCCGTCTGTTTAGTTTGTAAATACATATGTAGCTATCTAGCTGGTCGTTGAATTGAATTATTGATTTTTGTACAAGTTCATTTGCATCCTCTTTTCCTTATGCTTTTCGACAAAGGTTTTTACCAAGTGTCTACACAATAACATGAAATTAACACGCGTTTCCTCATTACTTTGTCAAGGAAGCCGTTGCTCTAATGGGCAGGAAGATAATGCATGCAGATAATGCCGGACGGACGGGGCGAGTGAAGAAGGACGACGAATGAATCAACACCACCGACAATTGACAATGCATGCCATGATTTTGCAAAGAGTACGAATCATCATCGTCGTCGTCATCACTTTATTATCATTTGCGGTTCTCGACTCATCGTCATATAAAATTCTTGTCTACATGAAAAATTGCAAAGTCTAATGCATGACACTCTCTCATTTTCCCACTGCACATAAAAGGCTGCACTCGGTTTACAATGGAATACAACTTTGAAATTTTTACAACGAGCAAGCAATCCTAAGTCAAATGGATAATATTATGCATGTCATACGTATATTGTTACGGCGGCGGCGAAAAGATAGTAGAGAGTAGTAGAGAGAGGGAGAGAAAAAGGGTTAAGTGTTCATCTACAACAAATTATGTTCCAAGCATTGTGACAAATTATTTTGATACCTGTTTACTTACTCCATTTTGAGAGGAAACTGAAAAATTTGTAAAATTGTAAATGACCATTTTTCGATTGACCTAGTATGGATCCTCCTCAACGATTCATCATCACATATCTCGAGTAGTGGTGGTGGTTGTGTGGATGAGATCTAACGGAATTCATCATCCTTTAACATATATACACTCACTGTGCCCACCACATCTTCTTAAATCTTCCACCACTTTTTTTAAAAACTCCGACTTTTTCCTATTCAGAGCCTCGCAAAAACAAGAGGACAAAAATATTTACAAAATTCGGGGTCATTTTTCATCACCGAAAAAGAGGCACATTTTTATTACAGGTGAGTTAGTTGAACAATGCCGGCCGAAATTTTTAATAACTGTAGAGTTTTGGTGAAAATATTTTAGTGGTTTGTATTTGTGGAAGAATTTTGAATGTAGGGCAACAAGGATCAGTCAGTTGACACAGTTGCTTCTTGTCAGTTCATAATTCTGTCTTTCTTAATATGTGAATCAAAAGCATTTCAATGATTATTAAGATTATAACGTTATTAAATTATGAATTCGTTCGGACTGTTTTTGTCTGAGAAATAATTAAAGTTTGTATTTGTTTGGAGCAGAAAAATGGTGAATCGTTAGAAAAATTTGGACCCATTCTCCGCAATTGTTCTTCCGGCAACCCAATCCGTCCATCAAGTTATAGTTAAAGTTGGTGCAAGATTGGTTCAAAAGCTGTACGAACCATTACTGCTCCATTTTTCAAGTATTAATCTACGACAAGAGTTTAAAGATGCGCATTACTGCCATTACTTACTATATTGAGTAAACTTTTTAAAATTTCGCCGAATTATTTATTAAACCGTCCAAAATGTCACATGCATCGAGCTATTATCAGGTTTGAAATTACAAATTACGATAAATAAATCAATTTAATTTATTATGCACAATTCATTAGTAGAATATCTTCTTGATACATTTTCAGGGGGACTACATTGCACATCCCGTCCTATACGAATTGGGCCATAAATATGGGCTTGACCCTGACCCTAGCGATGGTGGGATTGGAATTTCCCATAAACTAGAAGAATTGAAAGAACTGATACGAAAAGAAATTAGGAAAGAGCTCAAAATTAAGGAGGGGGCTGAAAAACTTCGGGATGTTTCCAAAGATAGAAAAAGCTTATCAGAATTAACCGCCTTAGTTAAGAAATCCTCCATCAAATTAACTGAAATGCAGCAAGAATTACAAGAACTGGATTCACAAATAATTTTAACTCAAGGGGGTTTCCCAAGCATGGACAATGGACATAGTAAGGCGTATATTAATTACATGCATGCTTTAAGAAATTGAAGTTAAAGTTAAAATTTGATTTGCAGACAATCAGTCTTTAAAATCGTCTGCAAACCTTTCTTCATTTGATGAGAGGATATCTTCCCTTGAAAAGCAGTTAAATATCGAATTGAAAGTTAAGCAAGGCGCTGAAAATATGATTCAGATAAGCAGTGGGCGTGATAAGAAATTGTTGGAAAATGCTCAACAAATGCTTCAAGACTCGAAAGCAAAAATTGATTATTTAAAAATGAGGATAGCCAAAACCAAACACAATAGGTCAGATAATGTTGCAAGCTCAAGTTCTGGAAATTCACATAGAAGAGGTAAGAGATGATATGTATATGTATGGTATGTTATATATATATATATATATATCATGGCAACTTTCACTCATGATGATCTATTCGTCTCAGATCGAAATAACGATGGACTAACACCACTGGAAGCAAGAATTGAGGAATTGAAGCATCGTCTAAAAATTGAAAAAGCTGTACAGGATGGAGCACGAAATGTAATTCGCAGCCTACAATCAACTAAAGGAAGTGACAAAAAGGCTCTTCAAGAGGTGCGTCTGAATTACAAATGACTTAATTAGCATTCTCTATTACATGCAATGCTTCTTGCTTCCATATGATTGTTTTATGTATTGAATCAATTTTTTTGTCCTATTGGACGACGGACGGTACTGAAAACTATGTCAAGGTTAATGTTTATTAAGTCTCTTTCATACATATCCGTTATTGTCATGTTTTTATCCCAGCATCTGTTCAGATGCTGACGTTTTTGACGATTTCGGGTTAGGGATGGACAAAAATAGCATTTATACTGTATAGTAGTGCAATTTTTGGCATGCGGCCACCAACCTATTGCGGTGCATTAGAGTATAGTGATTCGGTTTGTAGAGTTCATTTACTGGTGAGATAATAATCAAGTGAGATACAATCAAGCAAGAAAAGAATAATTGTTATCGATATTCTTAATTGTTCGATGTTGGTTAAACCAAGTCGCAGGAGTCGTAGCATTGATGAATTCGTCGAGCAGCAATTCGCCATCATCATCATCCCACCAAGTGAACCACAGTGTAGTTGGGCAAGAATGGTGCATTCACGCCCAGCTAACAATATCTCACCCTCAAGTACAACCACCAAGAAATACTAGCACTACTGCTGCTGCTGAAAACAAGAATGTGCCAATTATTAATGGCAATACCTCTTCAATAAGTGATAAAAATGTCAATCAGGTTGGGAAACAGATAAAACCTGGGAGCAATGTCCATTTTCAATATTCCTGGACTACCACCAGTGATACCGGAACAAAAATTACTCAAATTGTACCTGAAACTGCAGGAATACAAAAATTTGAAAGCTGGCCTCGGTCATCGAATAGCTCGGGAATATTATCATCACAAGTCCAACATGACTCTGGCTATAACACTGAAAGCAAAAATACTAGCACATTACCAACAACTACAGTCTCTAAAGGCGTCAGACCAATTAAGCCATATGAACGAAGGTGTAGGAGCACTTGCACAATAATACTATCGAATAATATTGATGATACGGCGCAAATTACATCATCAACGACGAGCTACGCCGCCCGCTCAAGTTCATTGGAGAGACAACCCATTGTTTTTGACAATAATACCAAAACCAATAAATCAATTCAACAGAAGGATGCAGGAACCCAGACATTGAATCGAGTAATCTCAACTGACCTTGGTTCACACAATTATGACTCGCCCGTCGGAAATACATATTTAACACCCCGACCACAAGGATCTAATTCCAATAACAATAGTATTGGAAGAGGCAACTATGTGGACCGTCGCAAACGTCCGGTTTTTCAAAGGAAATCTCCGGAGCATGCAACCCCCCAGGAACATTCCAGCAGGAGCTTAACACGACGATCTTCTGGTTCGGCAAGAGCTAAATCTTCTCCTCCAGTACGGTCGTCATATCAAAAGTAAGTACATCTTCAATAATAGTGACATCCGACTATCACTATTCTTGATAGGCTTCGCCTATCGTAATTCGGATGATTTAGTTTGATCATAAATAAATATTCATTAATGTATTGTTTTATTAGACCAAATCACCAGCCACGTACTGTACATATTGATGTATACTGCACTGGTTCGGAAATGTCATCCAACACGGATGATAATTCATCTTCCACTGGAGGGGGAGAAAGAGGAGAAGGAGGATCCTCATCAACTCCAGAAACGGTCTACGACTCTAAACAATATAAAATATTTCATCAGCAAAAGAAAAACGAGCTGCCATTCCATTTTGAGGGCCTTAAAATTAGCAATAAACCATCCTCAAAACCAGCAAATACAGAAGTAATTCGATCCCGAATAGCCATTGACCCTAATAATATGAATAGAACATTAGAATTTGACGGACCTTCACTTAAACTAGAAAAAGACAAATTGGCAGAGTTTAATTCAACGCCTACATATCAAACCCAAAAGTTACAATCCAAGAATTTTCTACAGAAGGATGATTCTAAAGACACAATCAGTTCAGCATACCCATTCCCATCCAGGGAATCTACTTATTCATCACTTGTATCTGCGTGGTCAAATACAGAAACGGTTGATTCTTCTTGGAAATGTGCAAGGAGATCGGAAACGATGGACTCCTTGGTTCTTAATACGGAGGAACAAGAACCAATTATTACTAATGACGAAAAGATGTCACGTCACTTATTTGATTCTGGAACGAGTGCTGAATTAGGCGCTCATAATCAGTACGTTAACCTTGTTGCCAACGAATTGAGAGGTATGCTAATAAAACATTCGATCATTTTATTTTTATGACGTTCTTTGCAAATTTCATACAAAATAAACTTGATCTATTTTTGTGTTAACAGGATGTCGGGCAACAAGTGAAGAAAGTCAAGTTATGCTCCGACGATATAGGAGGTTAAATAACGAAACTTTCGAATCCGACACGGAAGAATCATCCAACTTGATGGCGATGAAACGTCTTTCATTTCCAAACTGTAACTTACACGACAACAATAAGCTTACTCCTCCCTTCATGAAACCCACTATTGGGAATCACAATAATTATTCTCATTTGGGTACTGCAACCAAGTTTGGTCCTGTGGTCAAAGGCTTGAAGAAACCGGGTCATCATATCCCTGGGCCAGCAAGAAATCCACAATGGTGTACTTGTGACCACTGCATTAGTCAGAAATTCATGTGACTCTGGCAATACATTTGCTGTTTGCTGCTTACATTAATCATGGACAGTTTTATGCAGGCGTGCTTTGCAAGACAACTTAATATCAATATCAACTTTATCAATTCAAGATAAAGAGAATCAAAATTATATCACTGCGCCATACATCCGTGAAACTCTTCAACCGACGCTCATCAAATCGAAGCTCACCAACCGAATTGTTATGATAGCGCATAAAGGTCATGCGAATTTTCACCGAAAAACACACCGATATTTGGGTTTCTTTCTTCTTGACCAATGATCAAGAAGAAAGATTATACAACAAAATTGTATAATAATAATAGTTAGTTCCTTATCTGACAGTTTAAGCGTTATTGAAATAAGTATTATTTAAACATATGTTATATTGCACTGAATAAACGTTGCTTGTATGCTTTCGCTTATATGCTTTATATTTCATTTTAAATAAATATGCCCGGCAGCGATGAGCATTTAATATTCTAATACCATTTAATATTCTAACAGGCTCAAAGCAAATTTCACGAATCTGGACAAAAAATAGATTTATTACGACTCGCCCTTGAGACAAAGTTGTCAGAAATGCCACCGGATTCTAGAAAATCGAAAGAGTTGAGACACGAGTTGGAGTTGGCTTCTTTGTCTCCGCACAGTCATAATCCAGCGTTTTCATTCGAAGCTCTAAATCAACCTTCCAGCCGTCTCAGCACCACATCGCTAAGCAAATGTGCCGCAGTGACCGGAAAGTTAGAAGTTCGACTCATGGGATGTCAAGATCTTCTTGAAGAAGTCCCAGGACGTTCCAAAAGTAGAGATTCCGGTAGTCCGGCGGATCTTAAAGCCTTCATGAAGGGAGTAACTGGTCGAAGTTCATCAAAATCATACAGTGTCAAGGATGAGACAAGCAGTAAGTTGTTTGAAATTAATTTTAATCTTTATTGAAAACTATACTATATGGTATAGTGTGTATTGGAGTGAAATTAAGTTTCAAAATTGCATGAGAATGGTGATATTATACTTCTGGTGCTTTCACCAACACTTTTTTACTCGACTGACTTGAATGCCTTTGTAAATACATGATATTCTGTAACTGTTGCAACTACTCTCAGTAAATTCTGCAATCGGAATTGGATGCTTTGGTGGTGGCAGCACTTCTTCTGATCCAGAAGAACGGAGGAGTAAGTAATTTTTGAAGGATAACCATATCTAGCTGTTTGTGGCCGCACCAACCATTATTAGCCTTCGATTTCTCTGCTTTATTTTGTGTGCTTATCTTGAGAATGATGAAACTGATTAGAATAATGTTGGATTAATTTAATAACCTTGGCTTTTTGTTTTCTTACGATTCTCTTATTTTAAATTTATAGCTATGTGTTCATTTGCAATTAAAATTATGTTTGATTTGTAATTGATATTTAATTTTGTGGTGTAATATTTTTTGTTTTAGATGAAATTATGGCAATTTTAAAGTTAGACAATCAAACCGTTGCGCAAACACATTGGAAACCATGTTCACAACAAGCTTGGGACCAACGATTCAGTATTGACTTGGACAAATCAAGGGAGCTAGAAATTGACGTTTGCTGGAAGGACTGGAGGTGAGTGACAAATTAGATAGTTTCGTGTCTGTTGTTTGGATTTTTACCCTGAACCGCTTATCTGTATGAAAGAGGACTTTTATTTTTTATATTTAAGGCAACTATGTGGCCTTAAAATCCTGCGTTTGGAAGAATTCATTGACGATGTTCGTCATGGGATGGCACTTCAATTGGAACCTCAAGGCCTCCTATTTGCAGAAGTAAGTCTAGTTGTGATATATTCTACTATGAAGTTTTGCTTACTTTATGTGATTTATAATACCAAATCCATAATACACTTTAATTTTAGATCAAATTTTTAAACCCCATGATCTCAAGGTAAGACTACGATTCTTTATCCAGCTGCTAGAATAATCAATTATGTGTTATTATTTGACTGATGATTCATTTTTGTTTTTTAATCAAGAAAACCTAAACTTCAGCGTCAAAGAAAAATATTCAAGCAACAAGGGAAGAATGTTCCACGACCAACTCAATTAAATATCAATGTTGCCACCTGGGGTCGACTTATCAAACGGTCAAATCAAATCCCTCCGCCACCGTATACTCCTGGTACGCCTACACATAATCAGTCGATATCTGGTCCCAACGCTTCCTCTCAAATCAGTTCACAACAGTCTAATATACTCAACAATAATTCTGCCCAATGTAAGTACAATTTACACAATATATGTTTTTCATAATATCCATTCTATTATTGATATTATCAATTTGATGATATTCGTGAATTTCGTTAACTGTGAATTATGCATCAGCAGCTCCCCCACGACCTCCACGACTTGACCTTTCACAAATACCTTCCCGAGCGGATGTGATTCTCGAGTTAAAGACTAATGAATTAAGGACGTTTACCACACCAGACAGACCAAGTACATCTGTTCCAACCACTCCATATATGCAAATCGTCACAACCCCGTCAGAAGTGGAAGTTTGTGTGAGTGAATTTAATAGTTTTTTAAAATTCAGAATACATATAAAGATAAGAATCACATTTTAAGAATTTCGTGATTATTGACGAGCTAGATTTTAGATTTTATGTGTCTCAAACATGTATTATATTATCGGTGACCTTTTATGGGCAAAAATCTGAAGCTTTTGCTCTTCTTTTTTATCAAAGAAGCTTATCTTGGATATGATTTTCTTCTAAAATCGCTATGTTGCTCACAAAAAATTTAGATGTGATTGTTCGTATGGGATTTTAGAGTGTGTTCCAACAATGGAATTTGCGGCAAAGTTCTGTGGTTTGTGAAATTGTGGACGGAGATGATGACGTGGATGGTGGTGGGGATTTTTCCACTTATGATGAACCCTATGTCGATGAACCTGAGGAAGTTGAGGTCGAGGTACCTAACGTTTATAAAACTACTAAAGGGACTTTCTCTTGGTCTTTACGGTGTTTTTGTATTTGTTTGTATGTACGTGTTGAGAATAATGACAACAATATTTGAATGATATCCATCTTATATTTCGTATAACCACAGCTTAAATTGCAAATTTTAATGTTCAATGCATTTTCTCCATAAACTACGCTTAGGGGTTTTGAACACTTGTATATATAAGTACTTGGGATTTACAGTAAAGACATTTCCGCTTCAAGCAAAACTTTTATACTGATTAACCTGACTATAATCTCTGCAATACTTTTAACTATGCATCTTCTTGTAACTATTAATCTTATCTTAAATTGTTATTGTGAAACTCACTGATTGCTTTTTTGTGTTTAGATGACACCTCATGCGTATGTATACAATATTTTTTATATCTGTACTTTATTTTGTTTATTATTCAGACTCCCAAAATAGAGGTTAGGCCACCCCCTCCGCCCAGAATGATAATTGACCCACCTCCAATGTTTGAAACCAGAAGGGTGATCCCAGCAGCCGGACGTAATACCGGAATGACTTTCGACAATTTTAGACTAATTAGTGTACTTGGTCGAGGACATTTCGGAAAGGTTTATAATTAATTCCTTTTCATATGCGGATCATTGTATAAGAATCAATTACATAAATCACCATAATCCTCTTGTTGTTTTTAATTTAGGTGATACTTGGACAATACAAACTAACCAACGAATATTTTGCTCTAAAAGGTTAGCAAACTTTGACAAGTTCATGTAATTTGATCAATGCTAAGTCTTGCACTAGTTAACAATGTATTTAAAAATCAATTCAATATGGTGGACCTTAGATAGCGGGATTCCTCGACTAGAATGTAGTTAACGGGTTAAAGCAATCAAGTATTTATTTTAACAGTATAAATTTAAAATTGCAGCGCTTAAGAAGGGAGACATCATTTCCAGAGAAGAAGTCGAATCCCTGTTAGCTGAAAAACGAATTTTTGAAGGTTGGTACTAGTATTGATTCTAATTAACAAGATATAAAGTACTACCTAGTAATCTGTTAACTTTATGATTGTCAATTTTAGTCGCAAATTCCGTTCGCCATCCGTTTTTGGTCAACTTGTTTGCATGTTTTCAAACAGATCAGCATGTGATATTTGTGATGGAATACGCATGTGGTGGTAAGTTTTGATATGTAAATATATCAATAAGAATGATTGCATGTGAATAATATTTTGGCATTATAACGTAGGTGACTTAATGATGCATATTCACGCTGATGTGTTTAATGAAGAAAGAGCAGTGTTCTATGCAGCTTGCGTCACCCTCGGAATGCAATTTCTTCATGAAAACAAAATAATTTATCGAGACTTAAAATTAGATAATTTATTATTGGACACTGATGGTTATGTTAAGATGGCGGATTTTGGTCTGTGCAAGGAACAAGGTAAATTAATTATTTATACGCTTTACATTTTCGACGAACATTCTTACTTGTGCAAACTAATAGTAAGTGCATTTTTCAAAAAATATTCTCATTGTTCTTGTTAGTCGGGTTTGGAGACCGAACTAACACATTTTGTGGGACACCAGGTGTGTAAATAACTGAACATTAAATCATTGCCTTACATTAAATAATTGATATACAGAATTTTCATTTTGAACATTTTTTTCAATTTCAGAATTTCTCGCTCCAGGTAATTTAACCATGAAATTAACAAAACGATAAAGAAATGAATACGTGCTAACGTTATGTCTTTGGTTATTTGTTCTCCAGAAGTACTTACGGAACCATCATACACACGATCAGTGGATTGGTGGGGCCTTGGAGTTTTAATTTATGAAATGCTAGTAGGAGAATCTCCATTTCCAGGTAATCCCATTTCGTTACATTTGAATGATAATATTTTGATGAGATGCTCAATTCCTGTTATGACATTGTCCCAGGCGACGACGAAGAAGAGGTATTTGATGCTATAGTGTACGAAGAAGTCCGATATCCACGTTCGCTGTCCCTTGAAGCAATTGCTATAATGAGAAGGTAAGGGTATATCATAATAATGTGCAGAACGATTCCACATTTCAATTTAAATAATTCAATTTAATATGCATCTATTTTTTGTTAAGACTTTTGCGAAAGAATCCTGAACGAAGGTAAGGATATTATTTTCGTATTAATTTATTTGACATCAATACATACTTAAAAGCACAGCAAAAAATGCAAAAACTTTGTCAAATATAATTTATTTTTTATTTTTCAAAGATTGGGCTCTTCTGAAAGAGATGCAGAAGATGTCAAGAAGCAAGCATTTTTCCGCAACATTCAGTGGGAAGAGTTATTAGCAAGAAAATTAAAACCTCCGTTTATTCCAACTGTAAAAAATATGGAAGATGTTTCAAATTTTGATGAAGAATTCACGTCAGAAAAAGCAATTTTAACCCCGCCAAAGGTAATGATTACACAAAATTAAAATATGACAATTTATTAAGAAAATTCAATAAAACTCGGACTATTAATCTTAATTACTCACACTTACAATTAGTTTAATGAAGTGTCACTGTGGTGTGCTCCTTGTTGTCCGTGCATGAATAGGGATAATACCAAAAATCCTTGGATTTTAAAATTTTGTTCTAAAATATCCGAGTTCAGGAACACGAGTCTTTTTGGCTGGTTTCATAAAATAATCTAATGATAATTTTCTTGTTTTTTTCAGGAGCCATACCCCTTGACAGAAAGTCACCAGATCTTGTTTAAAGAGTTCGATTACATGAGTATGAATATCTGAGTTCTCATTTGATGTAATTTAAATTTATTTACATGAACGACTGGTGCTAGTTTGAACCACTGGTCACAGCCTATGGTTTGGCCATGCTGGTACACATAATTCACCATTGAATTAGTACATTGTACGAGTAGTTATGAGATATGAGACACCGCAGCTACCCTATTATTGCAGCCTTTTTTTGTCATGCTTGGAATTATTTTACACTAATAACTGTATCATGTGCAACTTATCAATGTTATTAACATATCACCACCACGTATTACTATGTATTCTACTATATTATTGCACACCGTTATAAATTCTTAATTGTGGTTGTATCTAAAGACAAAGTATTTTTTTAAACTTATTAGATTATCAATCAAAGGACATGGCACTCCCAGTATTGGAAATGATGTGATATTTTCTCAAGTTTTTGATATGTTGTAGATATTTACGAGTAGAACACAAGTTGAATTACCTTTAAAGTCAAAATCCACCTAGCTGATGTTGTTTTGGAGGTCGAAAGGTCAGGGATCGCCGTGTCCCATAAATGGGATGTCGTTGGAAAGGACTCGGCCACCAGTGGTGGAGTGGTCCTGGGCTCGACAAAGTATATATATTCTTAATCTACTCGCTGAGACCTTTCCAACGACTCCCTATTTATGGGCGCGGTGACCTATGACCTTCGACCCCCCAAAACAACGTGACTTGGTGGATTTCGACTTTAAAGGTAATTCAACTTGTGTTCTATGTACTTGTAAATATCTATAACATAAAAAATTTGGGAAAATATATTTCGCCATACTTAGAGTGCCAGGCCACTGATACTTTCTAGCAATTTTCGCATTTGTATTTAATCTAATGTAATGATAATCATGTTCATGAGTTTATAATTCGCATTTGTTGATTGATATATATATATATCTAATAATGTCAATAATATGTTTATTTGATTGTATCATACTATTGTATCGTATTGTATCATTGCTTCTGCCTATGTATGTGTCTACCTACATAGGCGTGTGTAGTACCTTTTTGGCCTTACTGAATATTAAAAATGTCACATAGTCAAAAACCACGGTTTGATTGCACTCTAATTTGTACTTAATCAAAATATATACAGGATAGTAGTAAAGAGTAGGATAAAGTTTTAGAAAAAAATCAAAGAAACAAAAAAATGAGCAACTGAGAACGAGATGACAATGCTGCACAATTTGGAATGGAATGATAATGATGCAGAGTGATGCATATGTAGTAACAAGATAGATTGGTATACTTTTTACGTTTAATGAACGAGTTAGCGTTTTATTTATAAATTTGGACAGGCTATGAAGCATCGTGACAAAAACATTCATATATACTTTCAAATAATTTCAGCTACATTTTTTTAACAGAACAGAACAAGGAAAATTATTATACTCTTTTTTTCTTCTTTTATCAACTAGTACTTATTCAAATGATGATGATGGTCTAATAGCACTGAAAAATTAACTTAAACAACAGAAACAGGTGGTTTATTACATACCCCTCCTCGATATATGTAAAAATGAAACAATGATTATCAACACATTTTTTCTGTCCGATTGTCAGAATGGAATGTCATCTAATTCATGCACCCTCGCCTCAAGTTCGCACGCACAAATCTCATCATCAGCATAATGACAACATCAAACACTTTACTGCTAGTTTTACAGATCATTGTAAATTATAACAACATAAATAAGAGGTTACAATTTGGTACACTCGTCGTCGTGTAACAATACTCTCGGGCAGAAGTCACTCGCCACAGCGTCACCACAACATTCACACCACAGTCAAACAATCCATGTAGCGTTTACGTACGAATGATAATAATATGTAAATCAAAAGGAGATAGTAGTGATGGATCATCAACTGTTTACAAAAACATATAATTCTACAGCTACCGTTAATTTGTACGTCCTATGCAACGTATAAAGTACATATAACAACGAGCGCTGTGGTTTGTAGTGTGTAGTATAGTTTCATAAGTGACGAGTTGACAAAATTAATTTTTAGAAATATTTCTCTAAAAAAACAATAAATCATCTTTACTTGGCGAAATTGTGAAAACAACATGGACTATGTAACGTTACATTTAAATTAATTAATATGTCTGCTATGCTAAAACCCATTTTAAATTACCCAAAACCACCCCAATAATAATAATAATATTAATAGAAAGAACACCAAAATAGGCCCTACGAAAAAATTGTATGTACACACAGCTTTGGCTACTATTCACTGCTTTATATTACTACTACCTCTCACCAATAACTAATACTACATAGAAAAATAGATTGTACGGCTTCAACAAATGAATTGTCAGTTAACTCCAAATAACCTCAGTTTTACATTTACCCCTCGGTTACCCCCTCTGCAGGCAACATGCATGATGTCCCTCTGTGTTCTGAATATTCCTCTTCGTAATAATATTAGTGTATAATTTAGCTAAGATTATTAGGTACCAGAGTTTACAATGAAAGTTTACAATTAAACCGTATCATTCCTCTTCCCAACAAGAATAAAGAAAAAGGGAAATTAAGAAACTATCTTTAAAAAATAACAAACACCACCACCATCAAGATCACAGATTTGCCTTCCTCGATCTCCAGTAACTGAAGATTCTCTTTCACAACAACACGGCCTTCAAAAATATAATATTTTGCTATCAAAATCTAGTCTCAGCCAGTAGTTTCTTCATTCTTATCGTCCTTTACTAAACACGTTAATATGACAAATAAATTTTTTCTTCTTTCTTCATTTCATCACCATTTACAGTTTCATCATTCATTTACAGGTCATCGATAGTTACATATATAGTGAGTATCTCTAGAGCTTCTTTATTATCCAATACAACTACATAAGTCAGCAAATAAAAGTAGTAGCTTTCTTTTTGGAGACTATGTGACGAAGCTTATTTTCTTTTCGCGTGTAGCATTTCCATAAGAAGGGTTTGGGTTGGAGCTCCTGAAAAATAACAAGAAAATGTTACCGCACAGTGCCCTCTCTCCCAAACAGGTATTCTGCATGTCGAGTAAAAGTTAATTTTTCTCGACTTTTCAATCATTAATGTTGAAATTATTACCTCCGTTAATGTGCTTAAAGTACAGGTAATCTTCACCCCTAGAAATCAAATTAATAAAACTTTTTTAATTTTATCCTTATCTTGTATGTCACCATTATTTTTAGTCGTGTACATACAACCGTCAACCGTGCGTACCTATGTGTGTACGTAATTATATACGTATCTATAATATTATCATTATATTCATTTACTCACCTTGATGCTACTTGCCGTATATCTGGCAGTAGAGTAAGAAGCTTGGTGAACTTTTCCTAAAAGAAGACAAAATTTATAAATCATTACGTTGCATATTAAACAAAAATATTTAGTAATCGCGTAAAATACAACTAATTTATGAAAATGCTTACTTGAACTTGTGGGTAGCAGTTTATGCAATAGGTGAGAAGCGACTGCTGCACATGGTCACTAAAATTGGAATGACACAAGGATTGTTAGTTTATTGAAAGTTAATTAATTTGAGGACAAAAGTTCGAACTTACTGAGTTTCCTGAACATGCTTCCTACTCATCAACGACTTGACGTCTGCAAGAAATAGGCAACAAAGTTACAAATGTATTTATAAGAATTTAGTTGTGGTGCATTTCATATTTGCACTATGCAGATCTATGTACCTGGATTAAGAAGCAGGAGGAACTTTAAGCAAATGTAATCCGCTTGATCAAACTTAATTTCCTGGAGCTTTAAGGTGACCTGATACATAGACACGAAATTTGCATGTAATTCCGGGCGACCCCAATTCTTAAAAAAATGAGGGGTATAATTGCATTTACCTCATTGAAGCGATCGATGGAGGCAGGGACGCCTAATAGGGCGAGGGACAGCAGATCAAACTTTTGTCCGTTGGGAAGGGGTGCATCGTCTGGTTAAAATGGAATTACATGATTATTTGATACTATAATTCTTTACATCCGCTATATCTGTTTGGTATAAATAAAATAATACCTGGTAAATGATTGTGTACACGGTGGTGAATGTGGTCGAGAACGAGCATATCCGACCAAGAATATTGAAGTACTAGTAATATTGAAGGGAATAAACATTAAAAATCAAGTATACTAAGATCTAAATTTATACTTCAGTTTGTTTTTGGGCTTGGATGATTAATTTGGGAAAAGTATTTTTCGTTTATAGTTTTATGTGTGATAAAAATTAAGTCATATAGAGCTTTTCGACAACACAGGTACTCAGTTATATACCTGAGACCCTGTGAACGAAATCTTAGCACGCCATGAGGAGCAGCGTCTCGTGTTACAATTTACCGTTTTATAAAATTTTCATCCTTGTTTCATCAAGTGTAATATAATGCAGTGAAGTTCAATATAATGAATTAAACGAGGATATTATTGCAAATTTTTTTCGGTTTTTCAGACACCCTGCGAAATTTTTGGCATGCAATTGTTTGTAGACGAAAAGATGAGAAGAAACGGGTCTAATATTTTTTCGAAGCATGAATCTGGTTTAATAGAATTAATTTTACTTACGCTTCATTTGATCGTCCACCTGTTTTAGAAAAAAATAGGAATCAGTATATATGACCAACAACTTTGCATCGTAAAATTAGGTTATGGCTCTGAAATTACTTTAGTATTGACCTGTATGCATTCATTTGCGTATAAATTGAAAAGTGCAACAAGCCTTCCAACCATACACGACGCATGTACATATGAATCATTTCACAACTATACTTAAGAGACGCCATGTCAGTCGAGTGAGTTCCTGACAGAATATATATTTGACTATTCATCTTCCCACTGCATCGCATAATATCACATCCTTCCTTCCTTCCACAAAAGTACAAGAAACTATTACATTATTATTATTCTCAGGAAAATCTCTAAACTGAGCATGCCAAACAAGAACCACAAGCAAATACTAATACGTGGTGACGGTGGACCCAAATCTATGCCACATTTGCCTTGACACATTTCCTTTGCCCGAGAGTAATTGGGTCAATGACAACATCGCCAGCATGTTATTTTTACAATCGATGTATATTATATTCCACTCTACACCCGTTCTCAGCAGAATGAATCCTTCCCATTCACCCACCAACCAACTCACTCATCACTTTTACTTTCTACCACACACTGCATTCCAACATATTGCCATCATTATGAACTACCTCCACTAGAACTTATATCGACGTCTAGCACAAGAACCAAATGACCATTATTGTTGTGTCGCCTTTACTGCACTGCCTTTAGTCGTGCTTTATTGTTTACTGATATAAGTACCATTGTGTGCAGTAAAGTGAAGGGTTGATTCCCACAAGAAAATGTGGATAAATGAATTTGGGTGTTTTTCTGGCATATTAAGCCTACGTACATGTATAGTATGGATATTACAACCATTTGCCTATTGGTCTCATTCTGCATGTATTGATTGATGGATAATGGATCAAAGTACCAGTGAGACGAAGACTGCATGACTGGGAAAAGAATAATGTGTGCATAATGTTGGATTGGATGATGAGAATGGTTTCCCACGTACGATTTTAACTTTAAGTTGAAACCCCTGCTGGCATATGACGGAGGAATGGAAGAGCTGAGATGGAAAAGTTTTAAAAATAACAAAGTTACCTTGAGGTCCTTGAAGAAGATGGAGTTTCTTGCCCAGTCCACCTACACGTGAAAATTGATTATATAGTTTGGTCAATTGAAAGAAACAATACTTCTCATACATATTGAACTATATACGAATATGTACAAAACACGGAGACAGAGGGAGACGACAGGAATGTTTTAAAATAATGTGTGGAATTAGGATAAACGCTGGTGAAAAAAAAACTTGGTATCCTGGTATCAAGGATACGGGGAAAATTTGGGGCCGCCGTAGGCGGCCCCAAATTTTTTCTTTCTCTGCGTAAATAACCGGGAAAAAATTACGAGGGGGAAGAAAAATCGCTTAAAAATACGAAGGGTGAAGATAAAATGCACAAAAAGGTGACAAAATTGAGAAATTTATTTTGAAATTTCGGGTACCGGGAACAAAAAAAGTTCTATCCACCAGCAATAAGTCTCCTTATGTAATGCGCATATATGTCTAAACCATGGAATTAGATGTCAAACCAATGTACATATATGTATATTACCTGTGCAAAGAGGTTTTGATCTAGAACTTTACAGAGCTGTAAAAAAGCCAATATAATTTTTTGTAATTTCTAAATGCATACTTGTATTAAAATCTTATGAAATACTAAATAACTTTACCAGCTCAAACAAATCGACCTCGCATTGGTTATAAGTTTGATTCTGCAAAAGATTGAACAAGGAATGTTGCCACTCCTTGTCATCTAATGACGATAAAAGGTCTCTAATCAGGGGTGGCATTTTGCTTCCGACGCTAGAACTAGATGTTGAATTTTGTCCCGAAGAATTGTGGTCAACGCTCACAATGTGGCCCTGTGAGAATATAAATTGCGATGGTGAGAAGACGACGCACATGCAGAATAAATTGTTAAATTCATCATATTTCATTAACTTCGTCCCAGAGACAATGTAGGATTTCTATGCTAAATGCTCACCTGGGATGGGTCATTTCCAGCATGTTGATTTCCAATTGATGAGTTATTGGCAGACGGGTTATTGGAATCATACACAAAATGCTTTGTAGATGACGAATTTGGGGACGTGGAGGAAGTGGCTGAAAAACATAATGTTCATGGGTGCTACACTAAATTTATGCCAGGTAATTGGGTAAAAGTAAGAAGATACTGTTGTCGAATAATCTTCAGTAGACTTATAATGCGATGGTGGAAAGTGTAGCACTCCGATTTTGTTGAAATTTGTCAATTATGAAGTTCAAGTCAGTACAACCATCGTTTGTTAAGGCAGTTTGTGCGATGGTTGGAATTTGTCAAAATATTTGAGGTCAAAGTTGTAAAAACTGGCGATTTTTATCTGGCGGAGAAAGCAGACTTTAATTCCATTCTACTCTCCTCACATTAATTTTCACTCTGATTTCTCACTCAGGCATAGGTCTTCATACTCGTATAGCATAATCAGTGATGCAAAATGATCAGAAATTAATTACGGTATAAAACATTTCACAGATTTCATACACGTTTAATTTCCTTAATCACTAGAGATGACACGTTTATTTTTTAATTACTCTAAATTTATATAAGCAATTGGATATGTATAAATTCAGCAAAACAAAATAAAATGGAAAAACTTAATTTGTTTTCCAATTCTAAAGCGCTGATAAGTATGTCGCAAAATAAAATAATGTCATACATTCGTATACCGTCCAATATATCGAATTGGCGATCAAAATGACCAACACTTTTAGAATGCAGAGTAAATTATGTAAGTTTTCCCATATATTTTGTTTTTGCTGAATTTATGCATACATTCAATTTTTATATAAATTTATAGCAGTTTAAAAAATAAAAATCAGTACAAATCACGTGATTTGTACTGATTTTTATTTTTTAAATTTTTTTGTTTTGCTGAATTTATACATATCCAATTGCTTATATAAATTTAGAGTAATTAAAAAATAAACGTGTCATCTCTAGTGATTAAGGAAATTAAACGTGTATGAAATCTGTGAAATGTTTTATACCGTAATTAATTTCTGATCATTTTGCATCACTGATTATGCTATACGAGTATGAAGACCTATGCCTGAGTGAGAAATCAGAGTGAAAATTAATGTGAGGAGAGTAGAATGGAATTAAAGTCTGCTTTCTCCGCCAGATAAAAATCGCCAGTTTTTACAACTTTGACCTCAAATATTTTGACAAATTCCAACCATCGCACAAACTGCCTTAACAAACGATGGTTGTACTGACTTGAACTTCATAATTGACAAATTTCAACAAAATCGGAGTGCTACACTTTCCACCATCGCATAGTTAGTACGAATACAAAATGAAGTAGGAGGTTTACTTACCCCAGAGTTTGGGATCTGCCAGGTTTATACTTGATTGTCCCGAACCGTTGACCATGCCCAGGGTGGCGAGAGGAGATGGCGAGGAGTCGGGGGATGAGGTCAATGAAGACACCTGGAGTAAAAAAAAAAGTGACCACATTGGTACCATTATTTCTAGTCACACCACACGTTCTTAGTGGCAGTCGTTTTCAGTACCTGAGGTATTTGAATTTCTTGCTTAATCGTGACGCCTTGTCCGTAAGGAGATCCATTGCTGTAGGACAACGGGAGGGTGTCAGATACGATGGCTAAACCTTGTTGACGAGCTTGTTGGATAGCTAATTGTCGTTGACGCATCATTTGTAATTTTCTGGCTCTGTCCCTCTTGTACATCGGTCCGAATTTGTTTCGTCCACCCCGCATTCGGTCAGCTCGGACGGCTAATTATAAGCATTATCCATCGTTAGAAATTTTACGTCATATTCGTACTATATATATTATTAGTTTTTAAAAGCGGCAAAGCAATGATAGAGGTTAAGTTTGAAAATCTTTTTGGAAATCATAAGCACACCGAACTTTGAACGACACCATGAGTACAGGGTTTCGTTACGCAATAAAAGTGCGATTTTGGTGCATTACATAGTACATTGCTCTTCATTATATGCTTTCAATTTCAATGTACAATAAACTAAACAATGGATCCATCATCATCATGAATAATAATAAATAATAATAATAATGCGTTGTAATGCAATGTCCATTATTCAATATATGTATAACGCATAAACCAAAAGAAAGGGAAATTTTGCACTACTTGGTATGTACAGAGGGATGAACATACATATGCACGCTATCCCATTGCCAGACTTGTGCACCACGGCGAAGACCTGATGTGTGGTGTGGTTATTGCAAGTTGCAATGATGTATTAGGGTTTTTGGAGGCTTTGCTCTGTGCATGCCAAGTAAATACGAGTCAGTATCGCCTGAATACAATCGACCATGACACAGATTCCTACAAATCATCAAAACGAACGTTTTATTTGGAGATGCCTGCGAGCGGAGTAATCTTTCGTTCAATCGATGGAAATGAATAAACTTGTGGTGCTAACTGCTAGCGTATGAAGGATGCATTATTCACAAGACAAAATACTTTTGCAAATAACAAGATGCTTGATTTTCAACATATGATGCACATTGTGACTCAACAATACTGCATATGTTTTTCATATTCACAAACTAGTATGAACTTTGGTATAATAAAATTAATTTCCGAAATCAGTTTTCTGGTTATGCACCTCTATGCAGGTGTAATATGAGTGACCTAAATACATATGTAGAGTCTGGATAATGGCAAAACTATTCCCAAATCAATCAATTAGTCTTTGGTGGAGCGGTGACTATAAGCAACTGTAAAGCAACAATTGATTGATATGGGATAGCCCCATTAATTCGATCAATGGACCACAAATTGCCACAAAGATTGGCGCATGATAACGCGGTTGATATTTTATTTTCGTGGATTCACTCGCCACGAACCATGTAATACCAACAAGGCAGAATTACACTAGACAGTGCTGATAACCAAGTACATGGCTGTATACAAATATATACATGTACAAATGTATGTACGCATGTGTATGGTTTATGGTTTGGTTTGGTGGGATTCAAGTGTAGTGTAGCCCACATATTTTAACCAGAATAAGGTTAAAATTCAGAGGCATTTAAATGATAAAAGGATCGTGTTTATAGGTCGAATCTGTGCCAAATTCGCTCAACATTGCAATAATAAATCAGCAATAATTTACTCTGCTGAGACCCATTCAGTATTGTGTTTTGCTATATATTATAGCACATCTCGTAATTGTTGCTACGTTGAAATAAGTTACGTATTTAGGTATTGCTGCTGCTTCTAATGTAAGAGTAACTAACTAACTAGCTATATAACTCTGGTCTAGAATTGGGAGACCATGAGCTCAATTTGCGAGTGTTGTACCTGCACTGCGTGTACACAACCCCCAACTTCCTCCCGTCGTCATCATCCCCCGTCGACAAATAATGAAACGTGTGCGTCGTGTTATGCAGTCTCTCCTCACCCCCTATTGCATTATCCGCTCTTGTGCAACAATTCCTCAAAGCCATGACTAACTTTCATTTTCAAAATCAAATATCATCTCCTGTAATTCAGCAGCGTGGTCGCTATTATTGCTTCGTTGCATCTCTTCCTTCCAATTACATGGCATAACCATAACACAACCCTTGTTCCACATTCGCAGACTCATCCCTGGCCCTAAGTTACATGCTCAAGCCCTCCACTCTTACTGCTTTACCTTCACAAGGAGACTTACGCAATTATGCAAACTTTTAGGGCCTGCAAGCCTACATAAATCTCTGCACCACTTGCCTGCCGCTTATTTAAATTCTACTTGGCTCCCTGTTTAACTTTTACTTAACATAATTATTGTTGTATGCAACCATTTTGAGCTAATGCTGGGATTGACGTGATGTAGACGACGACAAATAATGCGACATGTGCGTTGTACACATATGCACACACGAACACATAATTACTACGCTCAATATTTATGAATTTTCGCAACCGGGTACCGAAATGGTGTATTTTTACGAGTAGGTATGCATACTAAATTATTTTATATACACTTTCGAAGTAAAAATTGAGATATGTTACAGCAAATGAGCACAAATTATATTTTTCCTGAAACCTAACAGTATACTTTTCTCAACATCTTTAATACAAAACAACGATCATCACGAAAAACAATGTACAAAAGAATAATAGCGTTACAATTGAAGATAATATAATAATAACTAGACTAATTAAAATATAAGGAATGACTAAAATAGAGATCACGATACAGTAAACGAAACAAGTAGTATCGTTAAAACTGCAGACAGGATGTTACACAATTATAAATCAGATATTACAATACATTCGTTAACAAAGTTCTATTCATTCGTTAAGAAAGTTAAGTTCTGTAGCCGTTGAATTTAGTTGTTGTCGTCGTCGTCACTATCGTCACTGTCCTCGAATATAGTGTGGTCGAAAATATGAGAACCACTTATCATATTTAACTAATTGGAAATCAATGGGTCTTACGTACTTATCTATTACACTTTCTTTGGCTCTGAATATCATGCAAAAATTAATTTAGCCAAACCGCAACCCAAAATTAGAAAAATACGCTAAGTTTAGAATTTTCCAACTTGATTGTATCATTCACCTCTTCGTTAATAATAAATTGAATGAATAAAACTTTTAAGAATTTGTGGCTGATTTCCTAACAGCTTTTGTGAGATGGTAATTTACATACGTGCATTTCTCTGAACTTGTGCATCATTCGCTATACGTGCATAGTAAATTCTATGGGAAAAAATATGAGGAAATTGTCCGAGTGACCATATATAAAACGCGACATGTTAAATGACCTGAGACGACTTCGACGTTTTTTTCGAAGCAGAAGAAGGCACAGAGCAAAAATAAAGCAGGTGGGTATACATAAATTATATGAAATACATAAAATTAATAAACGATGTCAAATTGTTGTTGTTACCGGTTTAATTTAGAGAGGATGACATCGTATACCATTTTTCCCCCTTGCAACTTGTAAATAACGAACAACATCTACAAATTCTTATTTAGTGATTATTACTTATTAATTGCATTATTTCAGTGGTGGAAATCCTAAACCTTTTCAAGTTTAGGCCTTTAAAATATATAAAAGTTGACAATTCGTTTAATTTCAATCTATAATTATCCTTTTTATTTAAAAATTAGTATCTCCTGTTCTGGATTTTTATTTTGTTTTTATATTTTTATTTACAAGTGTCAAGATATCCGTTTATTATATGCGTAAGTATGCACCTATTATATTAACATTATTATTGCTTAAATTCATGCACAGATAATAAATATTTAATTTGTAAGCATTATTGCATTAGGCATGTGCATATAACAAATTAGTTAATAGCGTTCTAGACGCATGCCAATTCCCTAACATTTCTTAAATCTGCAAATACTTGTAATAACTTTGTGCTGATTTACGAACAAATACAAAATAAATGTAGCTCAATTTTTAAGTCGAAAGTGCATATAAAGTAATTTAGTGATCAATAGAAACAATTTTACGGTCTAAGATCTATTTTTTCATATTTAGCATTTCGATCACTAATGACAATGTCGTTTTTATTTACTCACTACTCTTTCTTCCATCACGAACCCATTCGCACGCTCTCTCTCGAAGCTTATGGGGCGAAGTGAGAAAGAGTGACGGTGGGCTTTTTAAGCAGTGGATATTACTACGTTTTCCTTGCTGTCATCTGCCACTCACTCATTTCAAGCAGAACGCACTCAACGTTTGCAAGCTTCATTTTTATGGTAAGTTAAGGATTTGACAGTAATTTTTTGCTCAGTGACAGCTTACAATTAGTAACAGTTGGAAATTATTTCGTAACCTTCTCTATCACACCCACAGTCCGAAAATTGTATTTCAATCGTTTTATTTGTGTTGCTCGAATTATTTGTTTGGGTTTAGAACGTGGTGCAGAAAAACAACCCACCCTTAATTGCTAGAATTTTGTGCATTAGAAAGAGGTTGACTAACTCATCATGTTGTTTAACCTTTCCAACTAAAACTTATATTTTGTCATTTCTTTTCAGGTTAGTTTACAAACCTCAATTCTGTGAGGTGATTAGAAATGGAGGGGCAGAAGGCAGCCCCTCGACGTGGTAACCAACCAAAATTTGAAGAGTTCATCAGCACGGATAAATTTCGACAGTTCGTCTGCATGATCTGCTACCAAACATGGTCTGAAAGAAACAACGTACTTGCTCATATTGAGAGTCTACACCCCGAAGGAGTCATCGATGACCACCTTTACACGGCGAGTGTAACCCCTAAGCGTATGTTTTAATCGATATTATTGTGACTTGGGGTTGTTCCTTTTATGAATGCAAAAATTTTAATGTAATAATCAACAGCGTCGGAGCGTGATATGACGTGGGTCTGCAGATTAGGCTGCAACAGTACTTTCCGGTGCCGTTACAACAACAGCAATCGTCTGTTTGCCCATGAGGACAATCAATGCGCTTTCCCACTCAGTGGAAGGGCTACCGAAAATTTTCAAATTCCAGGAGGATTGACGGTGTGCCACAGCTGTGGGCTTGGAACCACAAGAATTGCTGCTCATTTGAAACCCTGCAAGAACGCTTCCGGTAAGTACACAACGGTGTTTGTACTATTTACAAATCTTATAGATTCAAACAAAGACAAGCACTTACTAAAATTCTACATTTTAGACAAATTAACTGCCAATCCTCCTATCGTTTCGTGTTCCTTGTGCAAACAACTGATGATGGGACCTAACGCAGGAGCATTCACCTCCACGAGGTCATTAGTATCTCACTATCACGAGGTTCATCGGTTCTCTTGTCGCCAGCACGAGATACATTTTCGGAATCTAAATGATCTTAAAGATCATTTCGATCTTGAACACTTTGAGGGTGAGTTTGTGATCCTCTTTAAATCTGAACACCAAGTTAACTCAATGAGGATTAAGTAATAACTCAATGAGGATTAAGTAATAACACAGATATGCCAGTATTGCAAAGTTGTATTTAACGACAAAGACCGACTGAAATTTCATATGGCAATGTCACATGGGTTTCGCCCTTCAAATGTCTCAAAATGCTCAAAATGCAACTATACAAACTCGGAATTACGAAACGTAATTAAGCACGTACAAATGATTCACCCCGACAAAAGAGGTAACCCTTATTACATGACATACCAAACGTGTAACTCTCAAGAGGTGGCACAATAGTCTAATTTACCATATGATTTTGTAGATCCACCAGGAGTTAAATGTCAGAAATGCAATTATGTTTTCGAAACCCTTGACGACGTAATTCGACATGATCCCTTGTGTGCTACTCATCGACTGCCGTACAGTTGTTTCAAATGCAACAAGGTTTCTAATCGAAGGCACTTTCAGGAACATGTGGATCGATGCACTGACTCACCCAGTACACTTCGCTGTTTAGTTTGTCCTTTTATTGCATTGAATTCTGCTGATCTCATTCGACATCAACAGGCATTGCATGCAATATCTTCGGACTACTTCTCATTTAAATGTGACAGGCCTGATTGTCAACGACAATTCCCAGTTCAGAGTGCTTTGGACTCGCACACTCTAAGTCACCATGGTTGTCATTTAATTTGATCAACTCAATTGTGTCAACAGTTAATTGATGTTTTCTATTTTGCAGCAATTGACGAAGCTGTAAAATCAGGAGGGGACCTTCTGAAATATTTTGGAAGAGATAGGACAAAATATTTCGCGACTCGTAAATGTGGAAAATGCCCTCAATGCCAGTTCATCATCACCAGGCCGTACTGCATGTTGGATGGGAAGAAGTTTGTCCCCAACGGATGCTTTGATTGCAGCACAAATGGGGTAGTATACGTAATCACTTGCTCCTTCCCAGGATGTTGTGCTCACTACGTCGGACTTACTACTAACTCTCTGCGCATGCGTCTCCGCTCCCATCTCGTTTGTGTTCTGGATGGAACTGACCGTAAATTGTACAATCATTTTCGATCACATGGAGCTGACTGTTTGTCGTACTTCAACATTGAAATCATCCTTCATATCAAAAATCAAGATAACGACACATGGCAGAAAAATTTAAAATCATACGAAGCCATATTCATTGACAAAACACGAAGTCCCAATTCTCTCAACATGATATCTGTCTATATGATCACCTTCTACTAGCACGGAGTCAATCAGGAAACCCGGAGAATACTAACATGGATGAAGAGGAGATCGAGGAGACAAAGTTCGACGAAGAGGAAGGAGTGAATCAAGGATGAAAATGGACACCAATGAGTGTAGAAAGTTGAGATTTTTGTGCTGACTTCACGATAATGTTGGCTTTAATGTTTATATTTGACAGAGAAATGGACTTCTTCTTGTATTTCCTTTTGTACGTTTGTTTTCATAACTGTTATACTTATTTTCTTAAAGTCGACACAGGCTGCGTTTCTTCACTTTTAGTCTGATTAAGTCTAATTTGATCTAGTTTTATCTTTTTTGTCTTTCTGTTTAATAACTTCAAAATCCTCGTCGTCCAACATGCTTCGAATTGATCCCGATCCTTTAATGGAAGCAATTATCCAAGCATGCATATTTAGGTATGAAAAAAATATGCTTATACAATTTGTTAATCACAACACCTTTGTCGTTGTGTTTTTTTATTTTAGGCGATTACTTCTTCGATATTACACCATTAATCTCAATTTCACCGAATCATCACTAATATTATTATTACTTAAGTAGAATCAAATTTCTAAACAGCTTGAACGTTAGATCAGAATTTTTGACTAAATTCTATTAATATTATTATTGCTTACCGATAATTCAATGTACATTCGTGCACATATAAAAAAGATCAAAAATACAAAATATGTAATTTGTAAATGTGTGCCGTTATGAAATTGATATAATGATAAATGCATTTCATTTACGTTAAGCCATAAGCATAAGCATGTTTTCATCAAATTAGTTACTAACCTTCCAGTTTCATACCAACAGCCAAAGTTTTCTGGAATCTGCAATATGGACACCTAAAAATTATAAACCAATTTTTTTTGAGGTGATTAGAGTTATATTTTGTAATAAAAATACATTTTTATTATTTTTTTGTTTTGTATATTTGTATAAACTAGTGTGTACCTCTTTCGTTGTGTTTTGTCAATGTGGCAGTTTCTGTAAGAAGAAACGTGAAGTTTCAATTTACAAGGAAGTACTGAGTGATGCCCAATTGTTTTCACTAATTAATAAATACGTACCTGTCGGCGACGCAGGTGTAGACTTTCTTGTTCTGGACAGTGCGTTTAAAAAAACCCTTGCAGGACTCGCACGTGAGCAAGCCGTAGTGGTAGCCGGACACTTTGTCCCCACAGACGGGACACAACTCTTCGATCCCCTCCTTTGTATCCGGCTGGTCCTGACAAATAGCCGTCGTGTACTCCAGCCCACTGGGGGTGGCTCCCGATGACTGGTTACCCCCTGGAAATATTTCAAGACATGTGTCATTTTCCCTTCTTTGCTTTCAAAGTCAATAATATTTACGCAGCCTCAATCAATGGTGCTCAATTAATGACACACACACATTCTTGTCATAAAACTAACTAAATTTCGTTACATTATACTAGTCAAAGCTGGGCAAAATTCCGAACAATTGTCTTATTATTTTCTTGAATTGGTAGATGCAAATGTCGTATGATTTGGTAGAGTGACAATCGGTGTTGAGACAAATTGTTGTATTCAACGCGAATTAAATAACGTCGACCAATGAGATAAGCGCTATTTACATTCATTAATTAGAACTAGAATTTTCACACATTCGACATAAACTTGATACATGACATGACAAATAGCGATATATGGCACTGCACTCTCGAGTGAGTCAGTATTGGCAACTGCAGTGACATTAGATAACACTTGTGCATATTATGAGCTGTATGTGATCCATAAGTAGCAAAGGGCGAGTAGAAAAGTAAGAGTGTTTTCGTATCTGTATCATTCTGCACTCCAATAATAACACATAATACTACAGCGACAACAACGTCGTCGTCCTCAATGGGACGCTGAAACTGGGTTACTTACATACTTGCCTAAAATTACCAGTCAGCCAACTACAATAAAAATACTCCATACATGGCACTCGGCTTACTCCACACACACATTGCGAATATTTAGTAGCAGTGGCATCACATTGCAAATTGCAATTCCATACTAGAAATATGCTGCTCAAAAATGGTTAGTGTAGCAAATCAAAGGACCAAAAGTAATGGTAGTACACACAGTGTGGATAATCCGATCTGTATCACATCTCTCCATCCATCCACCATCACGTCTCTGTACACTACTTATTTATTACTCACCGAATGACTTTTGATGCCCGTAACAAAACTCATGCCAGCCAAGTGTCGTGATCTATTCAATCAATATGACAATCGGGATTGTGAAATACTTGGAATAAAAATAGTTAAATCAGTGGAAGGATAAATTGTATGCATGTATTCAAATGTTTTTCCATCCTGCTTTACTGACTTGGATATATTCTGCCCCTGTCCAAATGCAACATTTATTTTTCCTACCCATGTGCTTTTTCGTCCACGAGGTGAGAAAATAGAGGCAGAATAAGCAGCAACTGATGGAGAAGAATAAGAAGTGAGCTTATGATGGTCTACCCGAATGTATCGTATAATCTTCCTCCCCACATGATCCATGAATAAATGGATGACCAAATAAATAGAACACGAATAGGTTCGGATGGGCCAATTTTAAATTCTAATGCGCCCACTTGAGATATTATTGTCATTCGAGAGGATGGATGGATGCTACGACTACTTGGAAAAACAAAGGCCACATGCAACGGATCAAATTAAACGAAATAAATGCGTTATCAATCAATCAGGTAGCTCAACAACAAAACAGTCTGTGATGTCCACACTCTGAGTGCAATAAATCAATCAATCAGTCAATCTTCATGGAAGTGTGATGGTGAGACGAATCAAGCGCATCTCACTTTTCCCGTTCCGGTACCTCTCCTTCTGACCAAACGACAATACAATGTGGCCGTATGACATGGGTCATCCGACCAGTGACCCAGTTACAAAACGCATGTATGCACTATAGCCCAGTGGATGCAGTAATGAGCCATTTGGTGGACGTGGAGAAAAGAAAGTGAGAGTTACTGTTGCGATGAGAATTTGTGTATACCTGACGAGCTGTAAATGTTGTATCCTCCATGATCCATGGAGTGAATCCCAGAATTTGAGGCGGTGGTAAGCAATCCATGATGGTGTTGATTGATACTCGTATTGTGCAACGAGTGATCTGACCACATGCTCGAAGATGAGTGCGAGTGATGAACTAAATTGGGGGGAGTTGGTGAATGCCCACTGAGAGTTGGACTCAAATTAAAAGGACTCATTGGCAAGTCCATGTTTGAGCAAAATTTGCTTTGGTTTCGGCCACACGACAGAAGAGTCGACGATGACGACGATGAGATTTCCTAACTCACAGTCTCTCAATTGTCAATTGGTCCAGTTACTTCAATCAACTCGCAGATATTTTGCCACGCTCGTCTCCTTTGATAACAATCTCACACTCGGACAAAACTCGCACTTATTTGTGTATATATACAAATATATCTATTTACAGCAGCAGAGGCCCGAGTGGGTTCACAACAACAAGTATTTAGCAAAAGAATAAACTCTAATATATTCTCTGGTAAATAAATATCTGTCTCTTTTTTCTTATGCTATTTATCGTCGTCACACGGAGCGGTGGGTAAAAAAACCTCTGCACACAAACATGAATCAGGTAATCTTGTAAACGCACACGTTACAGGAGCAGGTACCATTTGTTTAGTTAAATTTCTGTTTTTAGTACGAGCAGTGGTAGCACATTGTAAGGTATCGAGAGTGAGAGGGTCTTAAGAGGGATGAGATGAAGTTAAAATTTGCACAAGAATTCACTCCGGCGAAAAGTGGCACAGACAGACAGTGAATTTGCAATGTTACGTCACACTATACTTCGCAATAAGCCTTCCTCTACAAAAACTGTACACACTGCTAGTTAGAGTTGTGCATCAGAATAAGCGAGTGAATGAGTTGGATAGATTCAAGGCACACGAAATCTTCAGCTCCTTATTCTTTTTCGTCCAACTCCTACTCCTCACTCCTCCGGCTCTTAGGATGCCTTATTATTCAACTATTATTATAAAACTCGAACAACCAGCCGATTTCCGTCAACCAATTTTTCCAACACTTGTCCAGTCAAGTAGGCAACTTATCACGAATATGCTTTTTCCAATCTTGAGTCACTAAAGTCGTTCCCATTCTTGCATAATCACAGAGAAGAAGAAGACCACTCTCAAGCTCAGTTACAAAAGTGTGTCCCAAGTATTAGTAGGAAACTGGGAAAGCCCTTCCGTCCTGTGTGTGTAGCACCGGCGAGTTTAAGGAAACTGAAAGTGTTTTGTCCGATCCATGCACTTTGCTTGCACCACCACCGATAGATAGACAACAACTGTGCGGAGGACACAAAGGGATGCGAGTGTGGACCACTGCTGTCGCCCCCAAGAGCACAAAGTAATCCTACAACAACCACCACGGATGAGTAGCTGGCTGTGGGGTTTTGTACGTCGACGTTGATGCTCAGTGTCCTCGTGTCGCTTATTCTTTCTGTGCGGCAATGTACAAGACTGGCCGTCTCGAGTAGTAGTTTGAAACACGTCGAGTCGGCTCCTTCGTCAAGTTGCAAATGCAGTGCAGGGAATTGATGCGAGTGAAAGTGTTCTGTTTTTGTGGATCGGCCTACTTTGCGAATCTATGTCTATGTTATAGCGCTAACACCCCACCACCAACTCACTCCACACACACAACCACGCTCTGCCTGCATAGCATTGAATTGAGCCACCACACTCGCTCAACGATTATTATGGTAACCATTATGCACTCGTTTTGCTGTGACTTCATACTGCCACCACCACCACGGTTACCCCCAATTCCTCGCAAGGACTACATAATACATTGTTGTATAATACTCGCCTTATTACTCGTCCTGAGTTTGATTGTCACTCCAAGAGATAGCTTCGCATCACCAGCATTACCATCAGCAAAATTCCTATTCCTACTATGCTCACGAGTCCCATGCACTTATCATCGCATTCCCTTAATAAGAGATCCCTTACTGCTATAGAGGAACGAGAGAATACAGAACCTTCACATTCGAGCAGTGCAGTTGTGCTGGCATTCATTTGTTGTCCCCACTACGATACGCACACCACAATAAGGTTCAATATCACTTGATGGATAAGTGAGTGGTAAGTATGCATGCATACTGGCCAATGGTGAGGTAATATTAGCTGTTGGTTAATAACGTAACTGCTGCCATACAAAGAGAGCTGGCTCAAAATGTTATGTATGCAAAGATAGATGGAGGAGGAGATGATGTTGGCCCCCTAATTATTATTACACATTCTTCAAGAAATCATACGAATCCATGTCGTCAAGGAGGACCATTTCGCACGTAGTTGGAATTGAGGAGGATGAGCTCGAAAGTGGTTCCCATACACATTTTGTGCTGTAGTTGCGTTGCTCTGCTGTGCGTCGTCGTTCCAAAAGCATTGAAACAAGTTGAACCCAATCCTGGATCATGCACCCACTCACTTTTTCCTATAGCTATACGCCGCCCCACTGACCCAATTTCGCCAACTATACCTCGCCTTCATATTACTCGGCTGCTGCTGCTGAGTTCCATCCACTGCCACAAACTACAAATCCTCTTAATAGCCAAATCTACCACTAAACTAAACCTTTATGACTCGCTGCAAGTAAAAGCTTAATACATTGTCGTGTATTTCATAGTACTCGTATAACAAATAATGATAATAAGGAACTTTGTTGCTATCATATACCCATATTTTGTACCCCATCCGTTCAAGAAAGAAATCTAATGTGGACTAACGCATTTTCCTTACCAATTCCTACTGGATAGGAAACATCCGGTATTGTCCCTACTTATTAAATCAAACAGAGAAACTGCTAGACGGCAGAAAGTGATTGCTGGACAAACGGGCTACACATTATCGGACAGTGTTTGATTGTAAAATTAGTAAAATGACCAAAATCTATTTAGAATGTCTTGAGGAAAGCCCACTGTCCGCATTTATCAACTTTCCTTCCAGTACCTTTTGTGTGCTTTACCACAATCGCACTTTTACCCGATGCACATTGCTCCATTTATTTCTGAGAGCCCTACTTTCAATTTCCGTCCGCTTTAATACTACTCATGCGACGAGACTTGTGCACTGGCTGGAATAAGTAGTACTCATTGCGTACTCTGTACATAAATCCTCGGGTTGTCATTCTATAATCCTCGTAATAGCAATAAAAACTTGTCAATAAAGTCTTTCTAAATACAGACGACTTTTTTTGGCCTGATTTTTTCCCCTATTAATTTCTCTATAATGCAATTCCTACAGGCCAATCACT